TCATAACTAATGTAATGCTAGAGAATTATCATTTTAATTTGAAAAACTATTTGTCAAGGTGCCACACCCAAAAAGCAAATATACACCGACTTTAAGAAAGAGCACATAGGCCTACGGTAAGCCAAAGAAACTTTTGCGAAGGCCTAAGTCCGTGACACCTGGTAGAAAGACTATATTCCCTTCAAAAAGACAAAAAAATCTCCGAAAAACCGGCACCTGAGCTCGAGCCGAACAGGACAGTCTCTTGAGGGCCCAGTCCGGGAGACGAGGGCCGGGGATTTGGATAAGCCGGGCCCCCGGTCATTTTTCCAGAAGTTAATTGGCCAAGATTGGTTTCCCTGGAGGAGGCTGGAGCACTCCAGCGCCCCTGGCCCGGGATTATCCTCACCTTCTTCTAGTGATTCACTTGGGAGTAAAAACTCTTTAACAATGAGTGAGGGGGGGGGGAAACATTTGGGAGATTGCCTGTGCACAATAGCAGCCAGAAGTAGTTGAAGAAACGAACACAGTTTGTTGGAGTGCGCCCTCATTGACACCAAAAGACAGTTTCAAGGATTTGAAATTCGTCCGTATGCGTAAACTGCGATCAAAATATGGTGACCAACTTAGATGTCAAATGTGTCGAAGTTTTAGAGAGTGTGTATGTACGCACCTCTGACGATAGGTAGCCATTTTGAGGGTAGTTGACAACACGCGTGCGTATTTGCATACAGCAAATAATGGCGTCGGCGATTATGTCACATGTAAAGTAAGTTTTTCTTAAGACAAATCCCATTTTTTTCCCCGGTAATGCACCCTCATCAGACATTTTTAACTGGCACGGCCGATGAAACATATAAGCCCCTAGTGATGATTAACGTGGCGAACTTCGAGCTTCCCCCCGATTTTCCTCATGCAGTGTTGCCAAACCTCTTTGTTAAAAAACTTCAAATTCATTCAGTTAAATACTGGTATTATTTCCTTAATAATGCTTGTCGTTAAACTTTTGTGAACAGTTTCAATGTCATGAAATTTAGTCCGAAATTTAAAAACGGTTGCGTCCAGAAATTGGGCACAAATTCGGCCGAGAGTTCCCTAACGTGGCGCACTTGAACAAATCTCGGGAAATCACACGTTAACATTTAAGAATTTCTTTGATAAAAGTTGATAAATTCTGATAAATCATCATTATCTTCACTTACATACCCAACTACAAGTTTCTCAGTAACTTGTTTTCTTATCACTTTGGGCGCATTTCGGAAGGGTTCACTGTGCACTTCGAAATAAAAATCGGAAAATCACGTCAAAAACAGAAATTCCCTAGAACTTTGTAGCAAGTACTTAAACTCAAGATTTAACCGGAATGTTAAGGGCTTGATGAAATTTCACTTACTGTGAAATTTGAGGTAAAAATATTGCTCTAGCAAGACACTAGAGGCGAAAATCAAAGTGCGCCACGTCAGGGGCCGCACTACTTAGGGCCATCAACAGTACAGATTGATAAATAATGGGTGAAACAAACAAACAGACAGACAGACGTGTAAACAAGCGGACGAAGTCACAAGCCCACGGGTATGAATTCCAATATTTCAAAGGAGTCCCGCCATGTTTGATATCAACATCAATCACCCATACAAGACGTCTGTTTATACAAACCACGATGCAAGACTCCCGTAATCTTCTGTAAACACTGCAGAAGATGTCACGGCATCTCTTCAGAATCCATCCTATTTGTTGGAGGAAAGTGGAGTAGGCCTATTGGTTCTGAAGAGACCGTCTAAGATGTTCTGGGAGGGTGCGTGTTTGCTCTCAGCTGTACGAGTGGTTAAGAGGAGGACTTTTATGGGGAATTGTACGCCACCTGTGAGGCTGCCTCGGTTCCAAGTAGCACATATAGTTTCTATTAACTCAATGCACTTTTAACACTAGTGACGTCAGTTCTATTCTCATTGTTCAGATGTTCTAACCATGTTGACATAATGCCTGCCTGCACGCTTAATCATGTGTCAGTGTAATGCCGTTCTTATCGGAAGCTCGGCCATGACCAACATGAAAGCGGTGCAAAGCAGAAGACGTCTTAAATCTTAGCTCTTTGCTGATCCCAGAGGGCGAGACTATTTCCCTCTTTGTACTTGTACTAACTGTCCGACTGCCACCCGTGAGCCGGGCAGTGCAATCGTATAGGGTTACCGCGTAACGCCAATGAATGGGCCCAATCCGTCCCATTGTGTTGACCAGATGCATGAAAAGACTTCCAGTGAATAGCCATTCTGAATCAATGGAATAGAATTGTATTCGTTTTGGAACCAGCTTTGCCATGTTTGCCGAATCTTGTTAAATGTGTAATAAGTAAAACATTAATAAATTTAAACTTTTTTGGCAAATTTACGCAATTCCCAGCCCCTTGGTTCTGAAACCCACTGCACTACCTCAGGCCAACAATCCCTTCGTCAAACCATAGAGCATGGTCAGACCTACAAGGACGCGTAACAGAGTTCCGCCTACTGAAGAAGAAACGGAACCAGTCACATTCTTTTGCGATCACTTCAAAGTTTCGCCAACCTTTCATGGACAACATGACACACTACATTCCTCCCAAGTACTTTCGAAATCGATGGAAATGATAAGGTATTAACTGATCAAGATGCATTTGTAACGGATTTACTTTTGGGGGGGGGGGTGTCAGATTCTGGCTCCGAAACTTTTATCTCCACCGACAGTTTAGAAAAATTCTTATCCTAGTTGTCCCTCTCTTAACACCGATCAGAGTACCTCTTCCTCACCCATCATTACCCCTTCAATTTATCAAATACCCCTTTTACTTCGGTCATTGTTTGGGAGCAGACACTCCTTACATCTAAGCATGTTTGCCCCGTGTATTTGTAACCCTTTTGTGGCCCGCTCTCACAGCCCGGCGCGGTGCACTCGAAAGTAGAGAAGCTGCCTTAAAAGTGTGGAGATTAAAAGTCAGGCCAAGATCTGTTGAGACGATTTCGGTCACATATTACCACGATTTATCATAATCATCATTATCCTTTTCCTGTTTATTGTCTTCCTGCTACCGCGATCCACCAGCCTTTGAAGCGGATCCGTACGGGGAGCTCACCGCGTTTGGCCCGGTGCGTGGATGGACTTGCCCGGTGACCAGGTGCGTTTTTGCCTTTTCCGCTAGCCGCGGAGATATTTCCCGAGGCAATCCTATCACAGGCTATTGGATTGTACTCGGGGATTACACGACTCTTGAACGGCAGCATGAAAGACTCGGCCGCCCGGGCTAGGAAATTCCTTGGGTCGTTTCTTCTTCATCTTGGGATACTCAAGTGGGATTTAAAATCACTCGAGTCAAGAAGGTGATGGGATGCGGGGAAGGAGGGAGCTTTTAATCCCCAAGACAAAGCTTGACTCTCCTCGATGACTTCGACAATCACTTTAAGATTTGTTTGAATCTGGATGGTTAAACTGACGCAGAAAGGGATCGTTCTCAGGAAAAAGGTGGGCCTATCTAGAGTGACAATGAAGGTGATGTCAAATTCGTCACTGTGACATAAGGACCAAGGAAAACTCTAGCCCCATAAATGTGGCCAATTTACTGAACTACCTCCGTAAATAAAGGCCACACTTGGAACATGTACCCGAAAATGTAGAACTTTGTCAAGTTTTGATTTTCATAGTTGGACTTTGTAGTTTATATATGCTTTAGAATCACACTTACCCTCTTATAGCGAAAGCAAAGAAGTTCGGCATTTTCAGAAGTCTAATTTTTGTGTAATCCCCAGGTTCATTTGCACACGTTTGCGTATCTAAACTCCAACACTAAATTATACAAAAAAAATAGACGTCTGAAAAATGCCGAACTTCTTTTCATTTATGGGGCAAGGAAAACTCCAAAATTTCTTGTAAGTCTAGCTCCCAACTTCCAATCCAACAGATGATTCCTGACCTTTGGGTCAATAGTGTGTTGCTATCACAAAATGTTGTCCTTTTTAAAAACTTGGTTATGTCGGTAGTATTTTACAAAATTTAAACAAAACAGAATTGAAACAATTTTTCTTTACAAACAGGACAATCGATTGTTTTATTAAAAATGACATTTGGGTCGCATATACTTTTTTTATGAAGCAGATGCATAAGCACCAATACAAAACAGGGCACTCCCTCACTTGGTGTTCATGAAATATCAACTACAGCCAAAAACTCACAGTCGGCCAGCATTTGTCTAAACAGCGCCCTCTGTTAAAACAGGTGACACTTTGTTACCAGAGGTTCATCATGTGGATAGATAATTATACCAGAAAGTGTGACTGTTAGGGAGTTACAAATATTACTTTTTGTGCTGGTCCCAGAGGGCTAGCCTAGTGTCCTCTTTGTACCTTGAAAAACTGACTGACTGACCGACTGACTGACAGTCACTTGAGAGCAGGGCAGTGCTATTGTATAGGATACCCTGTGATGCTAATGGATGGGCTAAATCCAGCCCACTGTGAATACCAATGCATGAAATGACTTTCAGCGAATAACCTTTCCAAATCAATTGAACAGAATTTCAGCATTCTGGGCAAAGCTCTGCTGGTTGCAGACCAGTAAATAAACTTCCATAGACCCCAATGATAAATGCTCCCACTTCAAAAATTCGGGAAAAATACTCACAACTCTCCAAGGTGTTCGAGACACACATCAAGTTCAAGCTTATTTCATCATCTTTCATTTTCTTTTCAATTTTCGGGAGGTCAACTGATGACTTTTAGGAGAAATTTCCATCTGAAGATGATCTCCCCTGAAAATAGTCCTGAAGCCCATCGCCATTTTGAAAAACGATGCCTACACTCCATTGCAAAATAGAGCGCTTTTAGGGTCCAAATTACATCCAAATTACACAGAACTGCAAGCTCCCAGTCCTGTGCACAGCTTCCACCCATATTTTTTTACAAACCCTCAAGTTCATGGCCCACAGCATGCTCAAATACCGAAGATTTTGAGGGCATGCAAATCGTGATTTGGCCGGCGCAGGCAATTTCGGACCGATTTACTGGTCTGCACCCTGCTAGGCCTGCCTTGCCCTGTTTGGTCAACTGGTGGCAGTATACACCTCAGACGGCCCCACAAGGGCTGAGATGGTTAAACCGTTAGATAATTCGCTCTCCATAACTAAGTTTATTACAAAGCCGTTTCTCTGGCCTCATCTGCTCGATCTGCCTCCACAGCCTCTCTGATGACGTTCTCCCGCTCCTTGAAGTACGTCTTGAACCAGTGGATGTGGTCGTGCTTCTGTTGGACGGTCAGGTAAGGATTCTGGCTGAGTCCCAGGCAGACGAGTTCCATGAAGGTTTGGATTGCCTCAACGGGAGGCAGGTCCTCAAGAAGATGGTCGAAGAAGATGTGCTCGTGGAAGGGTACTTGTTGCTCCTCCTCAAGACCTTGAGGAAGACACAGATCAAAATTAGAGAGAAACAATCACAGAAATGTCATTTCAGGCTCCTGTACGAGAACTTAAGAGGGTGAGCGATGCCTATTTTTAAGGCATATAGGATCATTTGCTTTTCATGCATCTTGTTCCTTTCCAATAATAACACCACTCAAAATCCAAACAAGAATGTTCAAAATCAAACGTGTTGAAGGGAAAAATGTTGCAACCTGACACCACTTTTTTCTTCATATATCATCTCAATGAAGGTCAGTCATTGCAAAAATGATGATAAGACATGAATCTGGGACTGAGAAACATTTCCAATTTTGTTAGGAAATATTTAGAAAATTTCCTCGACTCTCCATAGAGTTTGTACACAACCGCTGAAGTGGCGTCCGGTTGCAACATTTTTTCCGTGTTAAAGTTTCAGGGACTCAGTGGATATTACACGTTTCTTTTCGAGAAAACGGTGAAAAACCATGGACAAGTTTTTATTTGATCAGTCACGAAACAGGATTTCGTCTATAGCACTCGGTGGCGGCGATTTCTTGTCAAAATTGGATGGACGGGAAGTAGCAACTTGTTCCAGGGTTGCATCAAACTTGAAAAGTTAACGGATTGAAACAGGAGCAATAACATCTAAAGATTGACTTTTACTGTCAACTTGAACAACTCCACAGTGTAGTCAATGGAAAATGCAATCTATTTGGACTTGTAACAAGTTGTTTCCAATACTATTTGGATCGGCAAGACTTTTGAAATGTCAGTCCTAAACCCACCTTGTTCATTGTCGATTGGGTAGTGCCATGTCTTGCCTTCTTCGGTCCATTTCATCATCTCATCGAAGCCGCTGTTGATTGTAGAATACGTCAATTGCTTCAGTTGTTTGTCTCCTTCTTTGTCCCACAGCGATGGTACGGGTGATTCCCCTTCAGCTAACACTACAAGAAGTCAGAGGAAATAACAGCGTTAATCACTTAATTGCTTGATGATTTCTGTAAAGTCATATTTTTAGTCTCAGAAACAAAATTGGCATGAAAACTGATACATGAAATCAAGGCAGATGAGTACTTGTCACTTGTCACTTTTTTTGTAAACATCTCCTATTTCAGAATGTGTTCAATGGGTTGTCTTTTGCTTTCGTAGAAGTACACTTCGTAATGTCAATATGACTGTAGATGATGTATGGCGCCCTCTGTTGTTGACCATTCACGACAAAAAGCAGTGATTACCTTGTGCGTCTTGAGTGTCATCTTTTGGTGGTGTAAATATGTTCAATCTACTGCGGTCGAATAGTGTTTTCCTGTTGATGATAAAGACATGAGAAAAATATTACCCATCTTCGTTTTCGATTTTGAAGCTTCTTTTAATTCAATTTCAAAGGGCCCCATTCACATCCGAAATCTTGGTGTTGGAAACGGATCTATGGTGGTTTTAGGAATACCTTTCACACTGGCTAGAATCCAACATGGGTCTTCATGGGTCCGGCGCTCTACACGAGTCAAGTCCAACCCCGGTCAAATCCAACCCGGATCAAGTCCAACCTGGGACAAATCCAACCCGGGTCAAATCCAACCCGGGTCAAATCCAACCCGGGTCAAATCCAACCCGGGTCAAATCCAACCCGGGTCAAATCCAACCCAGGTCAAATCCTACCCGGGTCAAATCTAAACGGCGGACTTATGAGAGGACACCCCCAAAACAGATATTGTCCAAGGTTCTTACTTGTGTTGTCGTCTGATTGTCTCCCTTTGTTTCTGACCTCGGCTTGTCTGATCCTCAAGCTGTGTTTCCCCAGTCATTTCAAATCCGCTCCCGAAGGCACCCGCCAGCGCTCGTTCGTCGAGGGACCTCGTTCGGTCGCGCTCTCTCTGGATGGCAGTTTGCTTCTCGACTTTGATGCCGGACAAAATCGAACTACAATCGGAGAGAAAACAAGACAAAATGTTGTACTTTATAGCAAACGAGGGGGAGTGTGGCTGAATGGTTAGGATTCGTAGCTCGTGATTGCAGGGTCAGGAGTTCGAATCCAGCTGCTTGGGTGTCCTTGGGCAAGCCACTTCACCCTCACTGGCCTCTCTCTACCCGAGTACAAATGGTACGGACGTCTCTGGTCTAACTTATGAATGACCTGTGGTTACTTGTGACTGACTTCATAACAACAATACCTCGGGTAACGCCAGTGCCTCGGGTGTAAGAAAACGCTGTGTCCCATATCGCAACCATCGACAACCAACAACTCGTACCCACCTTACTGCCTCCACATCCCCCTGTTTCCCTGCTGCAGTTGCCTCGTCGTGTTTCCGTAACTGCTTCAGCAAGTCGGACTCGACCACCTCCTTCTCCGGGAAGATCTGGGCAACCACTTTGGCCGTCTCTACCACCATCTTCTGAACATCCTCGGGTCTAGATGTGTTTCAGAAGAAATTATGGCCCAAATCATCAAAACGTTCACAGCGATGGTGCATTGTTTGGGCAGCTCATCTTACTGCTTGGAATCAGTTCAACTTGGCAAGTTTTGACATGACTGCAGCTAGGGTTGCAAGCCAAGGTAATCATCTTTTTAGATGCAACCACACCGACAGTCTTCAAGTTCATAATTTTAAATACCCATTATTATTGAATAACTTTGACCTTTTATACCATTCATTCACACTGTACAGTACCACTGTGTAGACCATCACCTTTACAGTAAAATGCCAAATAGAGGAGAGGCTTGACTAGAAAGTCTCAACTCGTTGTCAGATACAGGTAGCCATAGACTGTTTCCCAGATACCACCATCTCTGTGGTCCCGTGGCAATCTCAGGGGGTATTTCACCAAAAATATGTCCCATCATGCTTAGGAGACTATTGCATGATGGGACGTAGTTTCAATGAAATGCCCCCTGAGCATACCACAAAGATGGGGGTACCTGTGGAACAGTCCAAGGGTGTGTGTGTGTGTGTGTGGGGGGGGGGGGGGGGGTTCCTTGGTTACCTTCGCCAGAGGAACTGAGCAACAATTTATTCTGAGTTCCAAACTCAATTTGATAACTTTTATTTGTTTAGGGGTGGAGGGGGTGGTGGTGGTGGTGGGGGGGGGGGGGGGAACAGGGAATCTGCCCATGAAACTTCTCCATCCTCACTTCTTAGTCTTAGCACCAGCATCAGATCCACCCTCGTCTGCAGCCTTCTTCTGGCCCAGCAGGTCACGGAAATCAGCCGCCGCCGACCTCAGCCTCGCTGAACTCCCGACCTGAGACGACACGTTCCTCTCAACCTTTAACCCCGTCAGGGTACTCAGGAGATTCTTGGCTGCTGACGGTCTTTCAGCAGGAGCATCGTCTTCTTTCTCTTCGGTTGAGTCATATCTACGGGCGGATGTACTCAAAGGCCTTGACAGCGATGATATCCTTGCCCGCACTGGAATCAGGCTTTTCAGAGCTCTGTTGGGGAAATAGGGATAAGAAAATAATTATATTAATTTAACAATAGTACTTCTTCTTAGTAGGCGGGGTTCTACGCGCTTGCTTCCTATTATCTTTTTAAGTATCCTGACGCCACTTAACTAATGTAAGAACTATGAAATAGTTGTGATACTTATCTTAGCTGTGAAGGAGGCCCTCTAGTGACGGCACAAACTTGTCTGGTCACCAGAGGGCCCTTTATAAATTGATATTAACATGGCAAACTGCGATATTGAAGCAAAAGTTTTCCCTGAAAATCTCTCTTACAGTGTTCACAATTATGAAAGTTTATCATACGAGCCATTAGTTAAGATGACAATTTCATCGTTTACATGTTTGTTACGTGATATCAGGATACTTCGTTCTTTCTGAAAATGTTGTTTAAATGTTCACAGTTGCTATGGTTACGGCAGTCGACCATCTAATTCTCTGACTGGACAATATGCAACATCAAGATCTTTGGCACTTGGAACCAGACTATCAACTGAATGGTTCTGTCAGCTTTATTTTCCTTTTTAAAAAAATTCTCCAAAGCCACGATCGCTAAGGAAAAAAAAAAAAAAAAATCTACTTCAATAAAAAGTAGCATTTGATTTAAAATATATTTAAAAGTAAAGAAAACTATCACAACAACAAAAGGAAAAATAATTTTCAAAGCACGGACTCGAACTCGACACCTTTGGCATGGTAGTCCAATGTTCAACCAATCAAGCTACCAAACCGCTCTGCTCTGGTTGGAATTTTGATGGAAGGGTTTTATGTGATACAGAATGGCATTTGGCAATGTTTTTTTGCAATGCCGTAATGACAGCCACTATGCCATGTTTGTTAAGTGGCCTCATATTTAAATACTACATTTTTTTGGCTTTGTACATTTTGATGATCTGCTTCACAACTCATCAGACCTCCTAAGGCTACGCGCTCCTATTTCTGTGCACTCGCCTTAAAGTTATGTTTTGCAAGGCGTGCATCCTAAAAAATGACATACTTTCACTGGGATCGTATCCTTTGATGCACGAACTTTAACCAGCAGCCAAAATAAATGTGGAAATGGAAGGCTTTGCTGGGAATTCAGGCAAAAAATGAGAAACATCGGCATTTTCTAGCTAATTACTAAGTACAAATGCAGGCAGATGCTTCTGGGCCTGCAGAAGTCGAAAATATGACCGAAAGGTGACCTTTCTTGGTCTCCCAATATCGTCAGTATTAAAGTTAAGATGTCAACAATAAGAATTTGCAGTTTCTACAAGGGTGTAAAACTTACGGTGCAACTAAAAAAAAACATTTCTTCTAATATTTTGGATTTTTTTTGGTCATAAAGTTTAAAATCCGACATCTTAAAAACTGTCTCTGTTGATTGGGACGATCAGAATAACAATATCATTTGGATCTACATTTAATAGGTAAATAGGCCTATGTATTTAAGCTGTTTATGTAAATATGCAAATATAGGCCTTTGTATAAATCTCCAAAATGGGATATTGAAAATAATCTTGAAATCACGAAAAGTGTATTGGACTATTGGCATTGAAAAAAGAAAGGAAAAAGAAAGAAAATATGTTTGAAAAGCTCAGGAAATATATTTTCCTAAATCCAACAAGTCAAAGTTATTTAAAAAAAGTGTTTATATTGAGTTACATGAACCGGACAGCACATATTTTTCATGAAGCGTATCCTGCGCAGAATTAGGCACGGTTTGGAATTCCCCGAATGCTGCCACAAATACAGAGATTTTGCTTTGCTAATTGGTATTCGGTACAGTGGATGATCGTAAATTCGTAAGACAACAATATAAGTTTTGTTGAGGAAAAGAGTGGTTGCTTTGCTATTTTGAGCTACTTGGTTGCAAAGCCTTATCTGCGCAGAAATAGGAGGATGATCCTCAAAATAAAGTTTGTATAGTCGTGTTCCCTAACGTGGCGCACTTCGAAGCTTACCCAAATTTCCTCGTGTAGTGTTGCCAAACCTTTTTGTTGACAAACCTCAAATTCATGCAGTGAAATACTGGTACTTTTACCTTATTAATGCTTGCTGTTTAACCTCTGTTAACAATTTTGGTTTCATAAAATTTAAGCCGAAATTAAAAAACGGTGGCGTCCGGAAATTGGGCACAAATTGGCAGAGTGTTCCCTAACGTGGCGCACTTAAATAAATCTCAGAAAATTCCAAATTAACATTTAAGAATTTCTGTAAACTTGATAAATTCTGATAAATCATTATTATCTCTACCTACATACCCAGCCAGATGTTTGTCACAAAATTATTTTCTTATTTTTCGGGGCATTTTCAAAGGGTTCACTTTGCACTTGAAAATAAAATCGGAAAATCACGCCAAAATATTTTTTTCTTTTAACTTTGTAGCGGGTAAATAAACTCGCGATTTATGAACGGGAGTGTTTATGAGTTGATAAAATTTCACTTTCTGTGAAATTTCAGTTAAAACTTTTGCTCTAGCTAGGCGCTACAGGCGAAAAATCAAAGTGCGCCACGTTAGGGGCCGCGCCACGTTAGGGTACATCAACAATATTTTTCAACCAGACCTCTCAACAGAGGGCGCTATTTGCTGTTATCTGTGTGCATGCACTTTCTGAAGTTTTTCATTCACTAACACCGGGCCAAATTTAAGCTACTTGTATAACTTTTAAAATTATTATGAACTACAGTTACTTACTCATTTTGTACACCATAAAAAATTGGAACCCTTCGCCAAATTCTACTCATGATTACGCTTTTACGGCAAAATGAAATAACTGTGAGTGCGTTATGTGTAAATCGCTACACTATCGTCATCGATCGCACAACACTCAATTGGCAAGGTACTAGACCAGCCACATGCAAACTGAATGCAAAAGCGCCCTTCGTTTCTGAGTATCTGACTAAATATTAGTCTTTGTCATTACGTACAATTTATTAAATGATATATATGTTTTAAAAATCTACTTGAATGAAAATTTATTGTAAAAAAATATTTTAATTACATGGCCTCAATTTTTTTATGTTATTATATTTTAAAATTTGTATATAATTTGTTATATAATTGATTAATTTATATACTGTATATTTTAAAGAGCAAAAACATGCGAAATTGTGATTGTCAATATTGCGGAAGTTTTGATGCGCCATTCGAACACAAAAATGTCTATAATATTTGTTGTTTTGCTCGGTTTTCTCGCTACCCACACTTGTAGTGCAGACAAGAACCCTGTGCCTGTGCCTGTTGTCACTGATAGGAATGATTTCGTTTCAAATATCACGGAAAGCGAAAACCTCGAGTTCACTTCAACCGGCAAGGGAACGCCTACCGGTCATGCCGGTACATCAGCTGAGCGAACAACTGCGGTCGTGACCGACGATGGCTTCTTATTTCCCGATGGAAAATCCACCTATGCGCGCTTCATCCCGGCTCTTAGCTGTGACTGCCGCCGACTCATGGAGGAATATGCAAGGTTCTCATCAAGTTTTATGCACTGCGCCCTGATACACGCCAAACCATTGTTGGTGTGTGAAATGTGTGTGGCTAAGTATAAAGACGCGGACAAGAAATTCCGGGAAATTGAAAAGGTAAACTAAAAATAAGACTTGTACAAAAAAAAGATTTATCCTCGACCCTCCTAGTCTGAGTAACTAGGACTCTACGAATCACCTTTTTTAACATTTGGAGATGGTCATGCGATCGCCTGACCATGTCCGAATGTTAAAAAGGCGATAAGTTGGGTCCAAGTTACTCGGACTACGACCCTCCATAATCTGCACAGGTAATGCTTGCAACGCGCACGCGATGTCACACACAAATGGAATGTGAGTGCGTGGAAAAAGGACCGCATAGCTTTAGGGGGTCTGATGATACTTCAATAATTTATTTTAAGAATATACATATTTTGAGAAATTAAATTAAAAAAATTCTCATCTTCAGTATTCAAGTTTATAATTTATCCAAATGGTAAATGACCTACTGATGCTCTTCTATCGTTATTGGAATAGATTCATAGTTATTATTATAAAATGTTATGTTGCAAATCCTGTGTTAAAAAAAACATGTTAAGGCTTCTGTTAAAAGAGCCACTACATTTTATGTATTAATCTTTGTTGGACACGAAACATAAACATAAACGTAAAATATTAATTGAAATAGAATGATTTGAATCCATTTATCTGAAAATAAATAAATAAATAAAACATGGATTTTTGAGAATGGTAATGTTTGAAATCAATATCAAAGTACTACATCCTTAATAAAAGTAGCCCAGATTTGTTTGAAACCTCATCAATCAGAATTCTAACAACGATTTCTTGATGTGTTGCCTTTGTTCTTTTTTCTTTATCTTCCAAACTCAGTCGACCTGTGATAGCAGTTTACTGAGCTCTGATCGTGTGCAGATTCTGAGAGAAACTCATGAATTTGTCAAGAAGCTATGGGTGAAGGGAAACTGTGGAAGTAAGAATTTTCATATTATTTAATGGTATTTTACGTTATTGGTTTCGGAGCTATCTAAAATGAAGTTTGTTCACCATTGTTATGCCATAATTACCTCCGCCACGGAGGTTATGTTTTCACCGGCATTGGCTTGTGTGTTGGTTGGTTGGTTGGTTGGTTGGTTGGTTGGTTGGTTGGTTGGTTGGTTGGTTAGTGTGGGTTTGTCTGAAAACAGGATTTGCTCAAAAACGTTCTGGACGGAGTTTTATGAAACATTTTTAAGGGGTGGTCCTTGGTACTTTGATTAGATTTAGGAAGTCATCTCTGTCAGTGAATTTTCAATTTTTAAGTTCTGTTTTAACAGCCAAAACTCTTTTTTATTTTGGGCACCTGCAACCCTCTCAATAAAAAAAAATAGGGGGGGGGGGTTGCCTGAGTTATTGGCAGTCCACAAATAATTGGAAATTTGTAAACTTTTTCCATCACTAAATTGGGCAGATTATTGTATTTTATGTTTTATTCAACAGAGAATAACTTCTGTATTGCTTGAAATATAGCAGTTAAAATAAACAGGGTATGCAGCACGTGAATAGCTATTTAACATTTCCGTGTTAGCAAAACTTTCAGTTGTCCTAAGTCTGACATCAAAGATAGAAAAAGAGAAACAGCTGTTTATTTCGGTGAGTTTGAAAAGGTTAAGAGTGAGGAAAAGTTGTTATTGTTTGTGTGTGGCAGATTGCTTCAAGGACATGAAAAATTGCAGTGGCAGTCACAATGAAGATTGTCAAGTAACGGAAAAGGTTTCAAAATTCCAGAAATACAACAACGAGACACTGGACTGTTTTGCTGCCATAGTAAGTTTATCTGATTAAATTGTTGATTTGAAGATTTTCAACTAAATCACTATGGAAAACTGACTAGGTGCATAATAATTTTTGAAAGTTGAGCGAAGTAATTGACTGGCGCTGGGTTTGAAACTGCATCCTCTGGATCACCGTTCTGGTGCTCTACCAACTGAGCTATCCAGCCTATGTTGGTGGTTCCCCATTTTATGTGCTAGTCAGAAGCCATAAACCTGTATATATGCCATGTTAGCCAGGGATCACGCTCAAAGTTATACTAGCAACATTAACAAAGCTGCAAACGTAGGTAATATTATAAACGGAGATCACTCAAAGAGGTTGAGACTTATTACAAATCACTTTTTGATTTCTACTCTAATAATTCAATTCAATTCAAAATGGATATTCCTCACTTAACCTGACCGTATGTACCTTTTGTTCCTGGACAGAACGATCACGATGTGTGCAAGAACTGCTCTGAGATTTACGGTACGCTGAGCAAGTTCTATGCATCCATGGGAAACGTTGAGGAGATCTGCATGGACTGTGTGGAACTGGTAAAGAAATAGAGCCATCCATTAGGCCCCGCCCACTGCACATGTTTAATAGACCGATCCATTAGGCCCCGCCCATTGTGCATGGTTAATAGACTGATCAATTAGGCCCTGCCCACTGTGGATGTAAAGTAGAAGATCCATTAGGCCCCATCTACTGCGCATGTTTAATAGACCGATCCATTAGGCCCCACCCACTGCACATGTTTAAATAGACTGATCACTAAGGCCCCACCCACTGCGCGTGTTCAATAGACCGATCCATTAGGCCCCGCCCACTGCGCATGTTTAAATAGACTGATCACTTAAGCCCCACCCACTGCACATGTTTAATAGACTGATCCATTAGGCCCTGCCCACTGCGCATGTTTAAATAGACTGATACTTAGGCCCCATCCACTGCGCGTGTTCAATAGACCAATCCATTAGGCCCCGCCCACTATGCATGTTCAATAGACCGATCCATTAGGCCCCGTCCACTGGCATGTTCTATAGACCGATCCATTAGGCCCCGCCCACTGGCATGTTTAATAGACTAATCCAAATTAGGGTAGCATAAAATGGCACGACAGTAGAGCGCGTGATGAATATGCATGACTATGACGTCACTAGAAGCTCATGAGTAATATATCACGCACGGTACTGATAGATATACATGTAGATGTACACTGTATGTGCTGCATCCCACCGATGATATCACATTTAACAAGTCCTCTTTCTACTGTCGCGCCGCCTCCTCTAGTGTCGTCCCACTTGATGATCATCGGTAAGTGGGACGACGCTAGAGGGTGGCGGCGCGACAGTAGAAAGAGGACTTGTTAAATGTGATATCATCGGTAAGTGGGACGACACTAGAGGGTGGTGGCGCGACAGTAGAAAGAGGACTTGTTAAATGTGATATCATCGGTAAGTGGGGCGACACTAGAGGGTGGTGGCGCGACAGTAGAAAGAGGACTTGTTAAATGTGATATCATCGGTAAGTGGGATGACACTAGAGGGTGGCGGCGCGACAGTAGAAAGAGTAACGTCATAGTCATGCATATTCATCACGCGCTCTACTGTCGTGCCATTTTATGCTACCCCAAATTAGGCCCAAGCAAATACCAACAGAGTACCAGTCAACAGCAATGACTAGGCCTATTGCAAGACAGTTCAACTGGTAATGTTCTTTTTTTAGCACAATTCAGCTCTACGTAATTTTTGTTTTCCCATTGAACACACGCAGATGAATAGCACACGGAAAGAATGGAGTACTATATACAACTGCACCCGTATCAGGAGGGACATTGTCTCCATTGTTGCTATCAGTGTCTTCTTCTGTTCCTTGCCTCTCTTCTTCTACGTTGGTTCCAAAATGCACACTGCGAAGACTGAGCACAAGCTCGTGAAACGTAAGCAGTTATCCCCCAATGGGGGTATTACCACCCCCAAGCAGGGTAAACATCCCCATTCTGGGATAGTTTGTATCATCCCCAATCAGGATATTATTCCTTCCTTGATAATTAGGATATTCCATTCTAAGGATAGGCCATTCCTATATCAGGACTTTCCATTCCCACACGGGAATAGATTTTCAAACCCACCCCAATCAGGATATTGTACCCCAATCAGGATACAGTATTCCCACTCTGGGTATATCATTCCCAATCAGAATTTTCCATTCCAATTTGGGGATAATTAATCTCAATTATGATAATTGAATAATTGAATTATCCCAAACCCCAAATAAGCTGTGTGATTAATTTAATCAATTAATATTGATAAGCTTAACACCAACATCAATAGTAATCATCCATTGGAATAGTCGGTTAATGTCTTAGTCACTGTGGCTCAGACTTTGCTGTACCGCCCCAAACCGCCCCAAATCGCCCTGCCCGTTACTCCCTGTAGCCAGTGGCGTCACCAGACTTTTCAGTCTTGGGGGGCACAGGGGGGGGGGGCACCAGCATTTGATGGGGGGGCACTTAGGTGGATACGGATCGCCGTTCTGGGGGAGGGGTCTAAGGGGAGGGGGTGCCCCCCTCCCCTTTGGAAAATTTTCACATACGGAGGATGGGCGAGATGCAAAATGGTGCCACATTTGATGCTAAATTCGATCTGAAGATATCTCCAGAAATTGCTATTTTTGAGGTCATGATTTTAACAACGCGCAGAATTTTTTTTTTACCAACCCAAATCTCAGATGGGGGGGGGGGGGGGCACTCGGGGGGGGCACTAGGTTTTCCAGGGGGGGCACGTGCCCCTGGCCCCCCCTTGGCGACGCCACTGCCTGTAGCACCCGAAACCCCCCAAGCACTCTATGGTGCTATAGATTTATCTGTGAGTAAAAACAATGTAATACAATGTAGTACAGTTGCCAATGAGTTAAAGTGTGCAAAAAGTATTCATGTATTTTTCCCCACATACAGAGAACCGACTGATAAAGTCCAACCAGCGACCTCGACCCAAAGTGGCTGCGCTACCAGCACATAGGGAGGCCTACCTAACGAACGACAGCTCATGCAACTCTATATGAGATGCACTATCATCTAGCACACCTAGATCTGTGATGCTGATTGGTCAACTACATACCTGGCCATATACATGTAGTACCAGCCCCATGGTGCGACAAAATTATTTACTCCTTTCTTTCATGCACCTTTGTCTTTACGATAGCAGAGGTTGTATATTTTTATCTTTTGCAGTCAGTACTTGTAAATTGTGATGCAAATTTATTTATCATAAACTTGCATTCTGTTGCCTTGTTGTATTTGTTGATTTCTAAGGTGAAACGAGTCCGTAAGCATGGAATGTCTCCAAAGTTGAAAGGTCACTATTAAAGTGTTACTCATGTCGTCACACCGTTACCACAAAGTGACACTAACATCGAAAAAGCAATATTTTGCAATTTCAATTTTTTTCCCGTCAAAAAGGGGTTTTGCATTTTCACGAAGTAACACAAATATCATGTGATTTGCGCGACTCACTTCTGGCGTTTTCACGAAGTAACGCCAAGCCCATAGCTAATACACACGGGTAGCATCACTTCGTGAAAACTCGAACACAGCGTTTTCTGATATTTGAGTTTTCACGCAGTGTACTTATGATTAATTAGTTTGATAACTCATTAATAATTACTTTGTTCAACAAAACTCATACATTAATGTGTCATTCAAGATCTCAGCTTTCAGACAATGCAACAAAATATGAAATTTGAGGCTAAAATGATATTCAGATCACCAATTTCAAAACATTTTCCACTTTGCGGGGGTTAAGGTAACTGTGTGGTGTCGGTGACGATGCATGGTGCCATTCCGTGCCAATGTTATTTACGGGAAAAAAAAGCCTAAAAGCAGGCAATTGCAACACATAGAAAATCCCAGATTTTTTTCCGAAAATTTGGACAAATATGCAAATATTGTTAGCCCATCCCACAAAAAAGAGGGGGAGGGCCCTCCCCTCTTTTTGTGGATAAAATTTCTATGACTAAAGAGAGATGATGAATTTTTACTCATTAATTGTTGCATTTATAAAATATTGAATCTTTGTGCTGACTTTTTTACTCAGAAATAATCTAAACAATTTTGTCATGATAATCTGTAGTATAAACATAAACTGCCTTCCAAATTAAAAAGTTAATATTTTTTACAAAATTACTGTGCTGTGATAAAATTGACATTGGTAAACAGTGCGCACATCTATTTTGTCAAAAGGGCTGGATCAGTAATGTGCTTATTTTTAATACTTGGGGGGAAAACTTGAAATGACTTTTTGGGACATACTTTTTGTTTTTTTCCCACGAATACCAAGATATATTTATTGCTTTAAAAAAATCTGAAATATTAGTCTGGCACATCAGGCAAGTTTAAAGATATTTACTTGTTCTTTTATTTCACACTATCATGTATATATGCAAACTTTACATTTATGTACATGCTAATAATAAAATAAACATTGATTAATTTTGATGAAAACTGAATTGGAATAGCAAGTCTTTATTTATAACAGCTTATAGGAATTATTCTTTACAACTACTTGAAGTGATATTTTCAGTTCATAAAGTTCAGCACTATGTCTATTATTTTCGAAGTTGTCTAAATTTTAACCCTAACCCCCTAGGCCCTTTAACCCTTACCCTACTAGACCCTCCAACGCATGCCAATTGTGCCTCAAGAAATTCTCCTATGTTTTTTGCATGGCCCTCCAATATCTGCCATATCATTTCAAGGGTAACTGGACAGGCATTCCAATACATGCCACAGAGAACAATGAGAGTCCTCTGATAACAAAGTGAGTGCCCCCAGCTGGTCAGTATCAGGCACCCTCCAGGGCCTCCAACTCCTGCCAATTGGAGCCTTCACTGTCAAGACTTGTTATCTGCCAAATAACTGCAGCTGGAGGGCATTGGCATAACCAACTGACATGCAGTAAACTACCCTCAGAGAGTAAGGGTTAAGCTAGAAACCATCTTCAATCCTGCAAAACCCTCCAATTGCCACCATGTACAAATTGGATTAAGCCTCAATCCTCCAAAATCCATTATTTTTTTAATTTGTTTAGTGGAGGGGTGACCATTGCCTCAATCCTTCAAAATTCTCCAACAATCACTGTAAATGGGTTGAGGCAGTGCTGATAACACTTAGAAGCAGTGTGGATGATATCAACATAATGCAGGGATCAATTATGCATAGCTGAACATAAACATTGCAGGGTACAGCCTACGAACTTGATACAATGCATCCTTTTTGCCATTCAGCCTCAATATTCCAAAACCGTCTGAAGGAATTTGAAGGATTGAGGAAGGTTAGGGTTCATGATATCGCTATCAAGAGATGCGATTGTTTAAAATTTGTCCTCCATTTTTTGGCCATTTTGTAGCAAATACAGAAGTGAATTTCCTCTTAGTAAACTGATTATGCTTTACATGGGGTCAGGCATACCACCATAATCAGAGTCCAACAGTTTGGGTGTTGAGTTACCATATGGTGTTGGATTTTGCAAGAGTGAGGAAGGATCCTAGTAAATCACTCGGTGGGGTTAGGGTTATCGTACAACCTATGAGTAACAAAAGCAAACTTGGTCTTTCGGTCAGTTTTGTCGAAAGGTCCAACAGCTAAGACCATTTCTTAACATCAAATGTTCAACTCGGATGTGTACTTTTACCTTGAATATAAACCAAATTCAAGGTTTAATACATTGAATTATTTACAACTTTCATTTATGAATGTTTGCAGACAGTGTCCCTGCACTGATGGGGATTTTTCGTGAATTGCAAAAAAATATTAAGATTTCATTATTTGTTGAAGAAATTTTTACATACATGTATAAGCTGTACAGTTTTTTTTTATATTTTGATTGGTGATCTATAGGATCTTCTACAGACCGTGAAAAAAAAAGGAAATTTCTGAAACATTTTCTAAAACCAACCAAGGCCTTGACATTGCATCTCAAAAGATTAAAATTATTCAACGATTGACTTCCGTTCCGAGAAAAACTGCTTCTAGTCTGTCTTTTTTTACGACACCCAACATTTTTCTCTTTCCATAAAAGTTCTAGTCGTGTTGTCTACAATCTTGGAGCCTTTTGTTTTCCGGCCTTGGTTGGTCAAAAAATACCATTATTGAAAACACACACACATACGAACACCGCACCCTTCAAAACTAGTCTTTACGATTAAAGTTTGTACAACACTTAAAAGAGTATTAAACAGATTACACAGTACTTGCATAGAAAGAAGAAAATATAACAAAACAAATTTTAACACATGAACAAACGCTACTCAGTCTAAATCAAATACTTTTGGCCTGTTGCATTTTGTGGGACACTCGGTACAGTTTGCCAAATTTACATGTATGTGGGCATATCCCTTCCTATATTAGAAGTCAACCAAGTACATAATTTATACTCGCTCTTTTGACTTTTAAGTCGTTTGAGGTTTACACTACGCACCCAGCTTTATCCAGCGACGTACAGCAAGTTCCAATGAGGACTGTGGTCAAACATAGTTCGACTAACTTCACTCGAACGTCGGGCTACTCTAGTCAACTGCTCCGACCCAGAGTCCACGGCACGGTTACATCACTGGTAACCAACAGCCACGCGCATTATAATGCACAGCAGGGAGCCAGGATCAAGGCGTTTTGGATGACGTTTCGTCCAGCATTTGACTAGAGATGTCTGCAAGTTGCTGTTTGTGCACAGGCGTAAGTTCCATCACAAATCAACCTCTAGTCACCCGGACTTGCTCTAGCAGGACAGCCAATGAGGCTAGATTTTCCAAGTCACATGGTCAGCAACCGCCCATCAGGACAACCAATGGGTGCGTTTTATTAGCTTACGTGTGTAAGTGAAACCTACACGAGAGCGTTCGATTAGCTATCATGTGATCCTCGTGTCTGCCCCGGTGTCAACCACCACTGCCCCAGCTAGCGAGCTGGTCTCTGGTGGCTGCCCGTGTGTGACGTCAGTGGACAATTTCGTTGAAAGGAAGATTAAAGATGGCGGGAATTTGAATACGAAGTGAGTACAGCCGAGAGATTTATGACACAAATATTGTCAATTATCAACGGTGTTCAATTGGATGGACATGTTTTTGATAATACATAGCATATTTTCCGATTTAGCCATTGTTGATCTGTTTACAGATCTGTTTACAGTGATAAAACTAAATTTACAAGTGAAGCTGAAGACAGTATGCCCAGGGCGTTCACATTTTAAAGTCCCGCCCCAAAATAACCTTTGACCTCAATTTTCCCAGAGTGCCTAGGCAAATACACCACAGCATTTGACAAGCCTCGTTTTGTGACTTCCCCCGGTGTTACCCGGTGTATAAACAGGGAAGCTATTCAAATGCAACCAATGAGGTACATGGTTCCGAGTCACATGATAGCAACCCCATGTGAGGATGGCCATTGAGATAAATTATTTCAAGTCACATGCTTGGCAACCAACTTTCAGGACAACCAATGAAGTACATGGTTCTGAGTCACATGATAGCAACCCCATATCAGGACAGCCAATGAAATAAAGATTCTGTGTCACATCCTTGGCAACCAACTTTCAGGACAACCTATGAGGTACATGGTAATGAGTCGCATGGTAGCAACCCCATGTGAGGATGGCCAATGAGATAAATTAGTCCAAGTCACATGCTTAGCAAGCAACTTTCAGGACAACCAATGAGGTACATGGTTCTGAGTCACATGATAGCAATCCCATATGAGATGGCCAATGAGCTAAATGATTCCCAGTCACATGCTTGGCAACCACCTATCAGGATAGCCAATGAGGCTTTTTTTGACAAGTCACATGCTTAACCATTTGTTTGGCCAGCCAATGAGGCTTTATTTTACAAGTCACATGTGTAACAACCAATTTGGAGAGCCAATGAGGCTTCATTTTTCAGTCACTTGCTTGACAATCGTGTATCAAAACAGCCAATGAGACTTGAGTATTCGAATCTCATGATAGTTATCACTGTAATGTTATCATGTTCCATCAGCTTTCACATTTTTACAATTTTCCGCACATATAGGATTTGCTGGTTGTTTGAACATACACGTTGCTTTAATCTTGTGAATAGGTGGATGAAGTTGAATCTTGAGTCGTTTCTCAATTTACGCATCTTCTGAGTGTCTACTCTTCTTAATCCGCGCCTCTAACCTAAAACAGGGAAATAAACAACATACAGATAAAAAAAACCCACTTTTTTAAAGGTACAGTACATCATTTGCAGCTATCCAAAAAGTAACCATATTATTGTTGAAAAGTTTACTAGGTTTAAAGATAGTAATGGTAATAAAGTCCCTGTGAAATTATTCCTTCTGGTATGCTGTCATTTTGAAGAAAACAATAAAAAGAAAGCAATTTCTGAAGATGCGTCAAGTGACGCATTTTTTGGAAATTCTCGTTAGTAGTTGGTTTGTAATTCGGCAAATCCGTGAACGGGTACCAGAAAGTGTTGAAACGACGCACACACATGCACATTACACAACACAACATTACACAACACACGGGACCTACAGCTTTACGTCCCATCCGAAGGATGAAGCAATAATGGTAAAGTGCCTTGCTGAAGAGCACAAGCACCATGTTCCCACGGTCAGGATTCGAACCCATGTACCACGGCACACAAATCGAACATCATAACCATTGGACCACAGCACCCCTGCATTTAGAGCTAAAACTTCATCAGTTTAGTTGTTAAGCACCCGGTTTGTTGAAAAACTTGGAGTGAATAGCCATTCTGAATCAATTGAATAGAATTCTGTGCACTCTGGGACCAGCTTTACTAGGTTTGCCTCGTCTTCCCTCCCCCTCCCCCAAGCTCACCTGTGTCGGCTCTTGTTTTTCCTCTTCTTGTGACCATGTGACTTGCCATGTGACTTGCTGCTGACGTGATTGGAGCCGCCGGCGCCATGCTTGTCAGCTTCTCCGTCGTTCTGAGATGCCTTTGCCTCGGGCTCGGACTTGGACGAGGAGGCAGAGCCGTCATGGCTACTCTGGTTCTCATGGGCTTCTCCTGGCAAAGACGGAGACGAGAGGAAACTTAAAGATGCAATCCTATGAAATTTTAAGCCAGCGAGGAACTAGTCATCTCAATTCCGTGCTAAAAAGGGGGTCATCTGACTCAATAACAACATTTAACCTGTAAAAAGCTAGTGTTTTTTGGGCCGTCTTTCAGCCGGAATGGTGGGGGAAATTCTGCTCCCCCATCTGGTCTCGGTAATGGCGTGACCTATTGTTATGAAATTCAGCATGCCAGTACAGACTTTCATGCATAGCAAATGCTCAATCAAACAAGGTATTTTGAAGATATGGTCATTCATTTTCCACACTTCAATCCAGGAATGAGTGCATTTTTCTAAACACAATTAATGAAAAACACTGCATTAAATTTTTACGAAATCGGTGTGAAAACATTTGCAAAAATTCAGGCCAAGAACTCATACCGGCCCCGTACAAAACACGTTTGCAGTGATGATATCGGACAAAAATTACGGGGTAGGGGGATGGATCCCACCAACCTCTTAGTGCTCAGCTACATTCCTACAAACATGTTTGGAAACTCTCGCATACAATTACTATGTCTAAAGCCCAGTTCATACTCTGCGCGAAAGCGAAAGCAAACGTGAATTTGTGATGTCATGGCAAGTATTCGCGCTGCGAATTCGTAAAAGTTGAACACATTTCAACTCAGACGAATTTCGCAGCGAATGTTTCATGACGTCAAATTCGCTTCGCATTCGCATGAAGTATGAACCGGGCTTAAGCTTTAAACAATTCTGCTAGAAACTTTTCATGCATCCAAATGTAACTGGTTCAACGGAAGTCATCACATTGAGAGGGAGGTTTCTTGAGTGTTCAGTCAAGTGTTTGGTTCAACAATCTTGCATAAGAGTTCATATTGTATGTTGATACACTTTACCTCTAAGATTACAATGCTTTGGTGAACGGGAAGATGACATTTCACTTTTCACAAATCACAATCAATGGTGAGCAACTGAAACGGCTTTTTAACAGTTTTCTGAATGTATTAACCATATGCAAACATACATTCTGTGCCAAGTTGTCCTTTCAGTCAAAATCAATCAAGTGACTGTTTTCAACAGTTAAGAGCTCCCAGCCTACATAAAGCAGGACTGACTGGCTGTGACTGTTAATGCAACTTGATACAGCTATGCTTTGACTCTAGGTGATTGATAAGCCAGCTGTGCCCACAACTTGTCTGCTTTTGTGTGTTGACTGCATTTGACTAGTCAGGGTGCATGCCAGAAATATGATCCGACTGTTGGTGACTAGCCTGCGTAAAAGGCATGGCAGGGGAAGCGGATTGATTTTTGACTGTCTGTGACTGTTCAGATAGCAGGAGGGTTGAAGTTAGAAGTACCATTATTACTAGACTGTAGATACCTGCCCTACCCCTCAAGAAATGGCATAATGAGAACACCCGTTCTTTATTTTCAAACGTTATTTCACACATCATGATAGATGTTTAACATCCAAAATATGAGTGATGGTTGACCAGGGATTCACAGAAAGCCAACAAAGAAGCACGTAAAAGTTACAAAGTAACATCTTTCAGGTTTGAACAAATGATCGGGAACTTGGAATTGGAACATGTGGAGAGACCTAAACACAATAAACCATTTGCGAGTAACCTATACCCTTTGGGATTTAAATTTGAAAAACATCTGGTACACTGACTTGCTCAAAATGCTTGGCACATTTTAACTTTGAATTCTCCAGGCCAAATGCACTGTTGTTTCACATGATTCAGGGCAAGCTCTTGCATAGTTACGTAAGAGACGCTCAGCACCAATACATTGTTCACAATGGGTGAGAATGGCACAAAGACACCAGACCATGCCAGAGCTGGGGGTTGCTAGCATAAGGCTTGCCCCGAATCACGTGATATATAGTAACAGTCTCTTTAGTTGGGAGAATTCAAATTTAACTCGCAAATGGCTTATTCAATGACAACCACATCATAAAATGTACTAAGAGACAATATCAAATAACACGGTCAGATAATTAACCGGTATTCATAAATACCTCAGACAGTTTAGCCATTCCTATTGGTGGAGAGCCCGTCACGTGGCCGGTATTAAACGGATGATAAAGACATGGCTAGCTGGTCTTAAACACTTTTCCAGTGTCACAATAAAATGTGGACTCCTAAAAATCCAGTGCCTCTTATCGTTTCATTGGTTGAACGTTCACAATCCTCACGTAGGCATGCGCAACACTACCAGGGAGTTAGAATTTTATAGTTCTAAATTCAAAACGCAACGCGCCAGGTGCGTTCTGCGCGACATCGCATAGAACATGATACGCGCGCGTCAATCTCCATAAAAGGGTTGTTTTCATCTTACTCGCCAGCTGAACACTCCATTATTTTGCAGGAGGGATGATTCAAAAAGCATAAAGTGAATTGAACAAAATCGGGATGTTTTGAACGAATTATATGATTTTTTTTTACCGAAAAGGTATTTATGAATGGGAATAAATATGTACTCCGTCGGTATTTATCACTCTGTTTAATACCACTTAGAGTCTGGGTGCTGATAATTACCCTCGCCTCCGGCTCGGGTAATTATCAGCACCCCGACTCTAAGTGGTATTAAACAGAGTGATAAAAACCTCCGGAGCACACATTTATTCCCTTATGAATACCTCAACAGGTTGAAGCTATTAATCATACATCTGATAAAAAACACATGCAAACACTCAACATTGCCTGAAACAAAAGCATCAAATAAAAGGCTAAAATATGAACAGAAAAAATGTCTTCCTCACAATTCATGACAAAGTAACCTTCAAGAAGTAAAAAGGGAAATTCGAAACAGTAAATAAGATCAAATGACCTTTTTTCGCACAAAATTCAACATGCATGAAAACAGGAATATCAACGCATAAACGTTGCAAAATGTGTAAAATTGGTAACAAACAGAAAAGCTGAAAATGTTGAAGACTAACACATCTGCAATAAACAACCAAAAAAAGGTAGCAACTAGAAAATGAACTGGAAAAAAAAAACACTGAAGAAACTTTTACACGCATAATCGAGACACAATGCAACAGTACATCGTCCATGCACACACAGAAAATCTCAAACTTCGATCAACGAAAAGGACAGTATCTCCAGGGATAGACAGCGCCCCCTACAGTCATGCTTCATGCATGCGCAGACTGCCGACAAAGACAGAGCGAGGGAAGGAATGAGAAAGAGATAGACTTTGCAGATTCTCACCATCGGTTGGGGTTGAGATAGAGGATGTAGATTGGGAAGACAACGGTGGTAGTGAAGGTGATGGTTCTACATGAGGAAAGATGTTGGATCAAGGAGAACTCAAGAATGGGTACTTTTTACACACCCCGTATCAGTAGGATAATGATAAACTGAATGTAAACTATAAAGTTAACCTGTGTTTCATTATACAGTAAACTCCGGCTAAACCAACATTGTACAACTCATCAAATTGTCAAGTCGGCCGTCTGACTAAAGTCCCGATTGTCCGTAATGCATTTCCATTGAATTTTTTATTTCTAAGTCGGCTTTTATAAGTCGCCATTTCGCTCAAGTCGTCGTGCTACTCTCGGTCCCCTTTCCGTAAAAAGCATTACAAAATCGTTTGTGTAAGTCGGCATTCAACAAATCATGCATTGGCATCGACTTCCTGTACTGCTGTTGGCAAAGTGTCGAGTGAAAAGTGGTTTCGCACGGCCCGTGATCGCTGCATGCATCGGTGTCAAAAAAGGGTGTCCTACTGCATACCACTATGTGGCGCTATAGGATCTTTGCTGCAAACATCGTATATGCATCGTGAGCATATCAATACCAGTACCCCCTCTGGGATGTACGCATGCGCTCTGTCCATTTTGGGGGTCGTCTTATTGAATGACGACTGCTGCAGTCAATGCGTGCGTGGTATGTACCGGACCACGCGCGCACGCACTTAATTCGTTACTGTGCACGTACATATGTATCGTGGTCTCCACTATCAATATCCCAAACGTGATGATACAATTCGAGGATTAATTTCGAAGCCAATTAGTGCAGTGAATCATGTGCGCAAAAGACCATTCATGTAAGTCGGCAAACTGATGACTTATAGCATATATCGGCATTCGCGTAAGTCGTCACAAATTCTCGGGTCCCGAGAGTGCCGGTTTAGCCGGAGTTTACTGTATTACATTTGATTTATTCACGAGTACGAGTACTTGTACCTCTGAGTACAAGTAAATGCACACCACAAGGCCCTAAATTTTAATTCTCTTTGACTCAATTTCTTTTGCATTATAATACATAATGAGAAATGAGGTACACTTCAAACTCATGACCTTCTTATCAGAGAATAGGGTATTAATTAATTAAACCAACCAATCTGTCGTGTATTTTGTGCAAAACCAAGCAAAGTATTGTGATAGTTCTTCTCAAAAGCATTCAGCACATCATGACGATAAGAAAAAATTTGAAGAAAACTCCAAATGTTTCATTTGACATACAGTTTTTTTGTTTACTTACTTTTATCTTGCTGCTGTTGTGAGTCCGACAAGCCAAGAGAACCCTGTGTATTCAAAGTAAAAAAAAACGTTACAGTAAACATTCAGAAATTGGATGAATTGGTTGATTTATTGCCTCTTGCTAAACTAGCAATCACAACATGGTGTTTCGGTCCTACATGGGCAAGATTACTTTTTAATCAAATATTTTTTTTAACCCTAATCCCTTGAGTGATTTACTAGGTATCTTCCCCACTCTCGCAAAATCCAACACCACATGGCAACTCAACATCCAAACTGTTGGACTCTAATTATGGTGGTATGCCTAACCCCATGTAAAGCATAATCAGTTTACTAGTGCAGTCCTCACTCCAACAGATTCCAACAAAACATGCAGTTGGATATTGGAGGGTTGGAGGTTGGGGTTAAATGTTTTTAAGGGCAAAGGGGGTAAATATTAATTAGCTCCTTTTTACTTACATGTGATGTGATGGAGGATTTGGAGAATAGTCGGTCTGCTTCTTTGAATTTCCTGTTTCGTTTGTCCGTCTTGCTGTTTGTGTTTCTGAAATTTGAAAATTTCAAAGAAGAAAATCAGAAATAGGATGTAAGGCCAAAAAAAAATACTCGGTCTCTGGTCAGCGCGCGCGTCGATTTTAATCATGCGCGTCAACCTTTTTTTTTTTTTCAAATTAACACGGAAGCTACAACAGCGCCCTCTATTGCCGTGCCTCCTCAAATTTTTGTACAAAGGAGCACCAAGGAATGGGGAAATTGAACCAAGGCAAATGATAAAGGGCACCAAGGCAAATTATGGAGGACACCAATGTATAATGAGGACACAAAAAAGCAAAATGAGTACCCACCTTGTCTGTACAATACAAGCTTGAAAAAAAAAAGCCACCAAAAAAAAAAAAAAAACGCGTCGACGCATCAATTCCGGAACTTCGGTCTGACCAGAGACCGACTTTTATTTTGGGGGGGCCTAAGTGGACTCTGACATTTTTGCCTGAAATTTGAGATATAAAAGGAAAAGCATGCACACACATGTTACTTATAATTTGAAAATCAGGCAATTGTAGGAAGACTTACATCCCTACAGCATGAAACTTTAAAGGGAAAATGTAAATTTTCCCAAATCACTGAACCATACTAATTATGAAAAACATGAATATTCATGAGATAAAGGTTTACGGTAGTGCCTTGTAACAAATCTCTTTTGTGAGTTTGTGAGGTTCTGAAAAGAACCGAGGGAAACTCAACGTTTCAGATAGTATGCTCTGGCGGTCGTATGCTCTGCCCGTCGTCTGGAGACTGAAGGGATTCTAACAGAGAAGGGGTGTTATGTAGTGCCAGGTGATGTGATGGAGTTCCTGGGGGATGTGTTCCTTGCCGCAGATGTTGTACGCCCTGCGGACAAGGGCCGGGTTGACAGAAGCCTCGATCTTGGGCTGATGAAAGAAAGTGCTGCGGAGATATCTGTCGCTGTGTGTTGGTTTTCGGTAGGTGTTGCGGGCGAGAGTGCCGTCCTGCTTTCTGGAAACCTCAACTTGAGAAATGAAATGTTGCCATGTTTTTCTTACTCCATGGTGGGTGAATCGGATGCTGCTGTGAAGCCCATTGCTGAGGTGTTCCTTGAAGAATAGGAACTTCTCTAGTCCGAAATTTGGGACTCTCAATACTGTGTATGAGAGTCCCAAAACTTAAGGTATTGAAAACATGCAATACAAGAAAATAGACTGGCACATGAAACAACCAGTCCAACACCGCTTCAGTACTGCATCAATCATTCAACTGTGCCAAAAGAAACATGTGGCATGAACCGGGAACTAGTCTCTATTTCTACACATTTCTCCATAGCCAGCCACCAGACTAATGACAATGAATGCAGAGGTGAGTCTTTTCAAAGAGTTGGACCACGGTTGGTCATGTACCAGTCTAGTCTTTAGCCTCATTTTATTCATTGACTTTCCTCTCATGTGCATATATTGATGAAATGTCTCCTTTTAAAATTGAATTAACCCTAACCCCCTAGGCCCTTGTTGCTTACAACCATCCTCAATCCTCCAAAATCCTCCAAAATTTTTCAACTCCGCCTAAATTTTTCAAAATTGTCAGACAGTCCTGCCTCAAAATGCATTCATCCTCAATCCTCCAAAATCCTCCTCATCCCAAAACTTTGCACTCGTGTTTAAATGAAGGATAACCAACGCCAAATCCTTCAAAATCATCAGACAGTCCTGCCTCAAAATGCATTCATCCTCAATCCTCCAAAATCCTCTTGTGCTTCATTCACCATTCATCCTCAATCCTCCAAAATCCTCATGTGCTTCAATCACCATTCATCCTCAATCCTCCAGAATCCTCATTTGATTCAATCACCATTCATCCTCAATCCTCTAGAATCCTCCAAAACCGCCAGGAGGATTTTGGAGGAGTGAGGTGGGTAAGGGTTAAAATTAGGTTGGTAAAATACTGGGGACCTCTTCTTTGCCTAATGGAATTTTTGGAGAAATTTGCTGGCTAAAGAGGGAGCAAAGTTGGCCTGCGTTAGTTTTGCACATTTCAGAGCACTCCAGGTCCCAGTCTGGAGCTTCTCCTGCCCGTGCTGTCAGATGATGAAGGCGTCATCGATGTACCAGAGCCAAAACCATGGTCTGTGGTCCACTGTGGTGATAGCAGTCACCTCAAACTCTTCACTGCTTCCAGTCACACTACATAACACCCCTTCTTCGTTGGAATCCCTTCAATCTCCTGATGGGCAGAGCAAAATATTCAAATCTTCTATGAATATTCATACTGTGCTTACTTATTGGTCAGATAGCGATCCCATCCTCGGATGATGTTTCCATAGAGGGCGGTGTCCTCTAGGTAGCTTCCCTCAAATGCGTAGATTTGTCTTTCAAGATTTGCAAGGGTCTCCTGCAAAATAACATAATAAATAGGGCAATAGTTATTTTTTTAGGACCCCTCAATTTTTACAAAACATTTGGCCGTTGCTTTTTTTACAGAAGTTGACCATCGCGCAATGGTTCTTGAACTTGAAAAATTTCCCTTAAAAAGAAAATATTTCAGAACCAAAAATCCGACAGAAAAATTATATGTGGACTTAAACGAGCTGGTTCAGTGAGTTCAAAATTACAGTGAAGTAACGAATGCCATAGATCCTTTTTAAAATTATATGACAGAAATAAAATTGACAGCCAAACTCGAAACCCAGCTTATAAATATCTGAAGTCATAGGCCCCCCCCCCTTCATAATCATAGGCCTTTTTTGATATTATTATTTGAAAATGAAATATTTTATTATTACAATGTACAACAAAAATGTTGCGAAACAAATGTCAAATGAATGTTATAATCCTTACTTATTCTTATTTAAAGACAACTAAATAATTTTTAAAACTTTTCCTTTTAAGTTTGAGGCTTTATACACTCAAAATAAATAGTCCCATTCAAAATAGGGTGGGAATTTTCCATAAACAACCAAAAGAGGGCGCTATACCAATATGATGGGTTCATTTCATTCAATTAAAAATCCCAAAATAGCACATTTCACGTTGAATCAAAGCAATCAAGATGTTATGGGTTGCCAATTGAACATCAAATGTTACTATGATTTAGAGAAAATATTCCAAATGAGAGCCATTGTTCAATTTTGGGGTCCACTTTTCCTTGAAGTAACGTCATCGAGAAAGTTCGTGCTGCCAATGACAGCGCAAATTACCCGCCACAATTTCGTCCATAAAAAACCTATTTTAACCAGTAATCACGGAGTAGATCCAACTAAAAATACATTCCACGCAAAGCGTGCATATCGATGTATTGTTATTTATCACTTTTTACCGCAATTTCAGCTCGCCTCTTCACCAATTCAGCCAATTCTGCCCTAGTATCTGTCTGGAGCGGCAAAGATTTGGACGACATTTTGCCCGGGTTCCCGGATGGTATTTGTACCCGCTTGTAACAGGATCGTGGATAGGCCAATAAGCGGATAAAATGGGTGGAGCTTTTTCTGGCGACCAATCACAATCAATCTAGCTCCGGTTGTGTGGATTTGATTGATAGTTCATTACAAGATGGCTGCGCCCATTTCAAAACATTTGGCACGTGTGCCAAGCTTTTTGAGGTATAAACAGATTGTAACAACCATTTTCAACAACATATCTTATGAACAGAGGTTCAGGGAAAATGGGTTTCTGAAGTATTGGCCTAAAAAAACATCATCTGCTGTTGTAATCTATGATCTAGATTAATGTGCCGTGATTGCGCGCGCGATCGCTGTTGTACGAGTGTCCGGAAAGTGGGCAAGAAGCTTCACTGTTCATTTTCTTTTCAACTACTTTTTATTTAGTGAAAAATTGACGTGAGCAGGCACAAGTAGCCCCTTAAATAATGTGGCTCAAATACTGGACTTCCTCTGTATTGTGAGCCACACGGCGATGTCACGATGAATAGCAAGCCAACACACATGACCCACGCGAGGCAACATTGTTGTAGGCCTATATTTTGATATATTAGCATTCATGTCTTTTCAACATTTTTGCAATGACTGACTGACCTTCATTGACATATAAATATATCAATGTAGGCCTACTGACGCCTTTTGTTTGGTTGTATACAAAGTCTACGGAGAGTTGAGTGCATTTATAAAGTATTTTCTTACAAAATTTGAAATGTTTCTCAGTCCCAGATTCATGTCTTTTCAACATTTTTGCAATGACTGACTCACTGACTGATCTTCATTGACATATAAATATATCAAGTGGCATCAGCCTCAGGATGCAACATTCTTTCTGAAATTGAAAAAGATTCCCATATCTGGCCATCACTAATTTTTCCCGTCAATGATCTATCAGCCATCAGAAAGTGATCATGTGTCCTAAAAAGTCAGATTTATCAGGGAAAATATAGAAGTATTTACTGAGAAAACATGTAGACATTTTCAGACCAGTCCCATACGGTTTGTGCACAGGGGGACAAGTGATGGCCAGATATGGAAATCTTTCCCTGATATCTAAGTTATAGAATAAGAAAGCACATGGGTGCCTTCCAATTCTAGAACTTAGAAGTAGAGGAAATCCAAATCAGGAGGTTTTTTTTTTCACTTAATATTCACCTGGTCAAAAACAGTAAAAAATTAATAGGTCAATGGTGCATAAATCCTCAGGACCTTGAGAAAAATACTGCAGTAATTCTTGGACAAAACTGTCTGCAAATTTTTGCCTGAAAATTACAGGGTAGCTATACAAGTATGATCTAAAGCTCGTTCAGAATTCAATTTTTCCTGGTTATTATTAACCAGGTCAGCATTTTCCGTAGAGAATAACAAGTGAAAAAACAAACAGTCATGAGTTCAATTTCCTCAAACCAATTTTTTTTCCTCATATGTTGCTATCACCGCCATGTGGCTCACAATGTGCAGGAAGTCCAGTATTTAAGCCACATTATGGGGCTAAGGCACAAGATGTCCTTGTTATAATTGCTGACTAAAGGGGCTAGACACACCCGTGAGACTGAGGACATTAAACTGTATTGAAAACATATATTTCATTGTTTTAATAGTGATTTCATTTTTTCTCTATTTAGTGTTTTGCGTCGACACTGTAGTGCACAAATTCAGCCGAAGAAGCAACGGAAAAAGACAAAATCACAAACAGCCCCACCAGCATCATCGTCAGAGCCGCTACCCGAGGAGTTCACTCCCACCTTCACGAACACAGAGGAGACAACTCATCACGCCGACTCAAACTGTGCCAAAGCCTACCTCAATAACAAACTGCGAGAGGCGGTCACGCCTCTGTGGAAACTCCCTTACGAGAAGCAGTTACAGCTCAAACAGCTCAAGAATTCCAACGTGCTGTTGAAACTGACAAATGCTCTTATTGAGCAAGAAGCTGCAGTTGGCTTAACGGAGATCTTGGACAGGACCAAGAAATTTGGAGGAGTGTGTTGTCATTTGGAAAGAATAAAACCTTCGGTATTGATATATTTTTTTCCTTTAGTTGATGGGTTTATCATTCAGATTTGAATATCTTCAGGCTGACCTGTTGTTAAACATCCGTTTAGCATTTTTGGGATTCAGGTATTCAAAAAATGTGAGCGGTCTCGTTGATATGATGAAAAACATCCATAATAGTGTTTTTATCGTCTGCGCATGTTTTGAGAGCTGCCATGAGGAATATAAGCTTAGATTTCTTCTCTAAAATCGGTCAAATATCAGCCATTCATATAATTTTTAGTAAGCTCTTTGTCAATTTTCAACAAGTGCAGGCGCTAGCAAACCTTGATCAGCTGCCAATTTAGGCTTGCGCATGATTAACCTGATCGGTGCATTTCAAAATCAAATATTCGAATATTCGATCAGGTCCAAGTTGGAGTAATGGAATACTAAATCCATTTTTGAACACCATAGTTTAGATTTGTAAAATACGTCATTGGTAATTTTGAGAAAAATTACCTTGTAGTGGCCAACTCACTATAAAATGATAATAACAAGTAGTTCTGTGCTGTAATGTTTGTACCGTATCGTTTCCCTTCAGCCACTGACGGAAGGCTACAGAAATAAATCAGAGTTCAGCGTTGGTGTCGGAGCCGATGGAAACAGGAAGACGGTAGGACTCTTCATCGGAGAGTGGAAAAGTAAGAAAATATAAAAATTTAACCACTTTTCTATTGATGTTGAGGATGAACAAAATAAGCTTTAACCAAAAGGGGATTCGAACCTGAAACCTTTGGAATACCATGACGGTGCTCTACAATCTGACTTATCAAGCCCTTTAACCCTAACCTCCCCAACCCTTCAAATTCCAACTGCATGCTTTGTTGGATTCTGTTGGAGTGAGAACTGTTCTTGTAAACTGATTATGCTTTACATGGGGTTAGGCATACCACCGATAATCAACAGTTTGGGTGTAACAGTTTGGGGAGTCAGGTTGGCGTAGCGGTACTTTCCTCGCCTTCCACCGCTGTGACCTGGGTTTGAAACCTGCCCGGGCCAATATGTGGATTGGGTTTTCAGTCCCTACCTGATTCCGTGGGTTTTCCTCAGAATGTTCCTCTGGGCTTTTCCTTCAACCTCTCAAACTTGCTTTCGAGCTACAGTGCCCAGGGCACTTTTGAGAAATCCTTGGTTTCATTACCAGAAAGAAATAAGATAAATAAATAAATAAGGTTACCATAGGGTGTTGGATTTTACAAGAGTGAGGAAGGCTCCTAGTAAATCACTCAAGGGGGTTGGGGTTAATAGTTGGAAGTTGATGTTTTTCCAAGTGGGGTTTTGAAAATATACATCAAGTTACCTTTAATGACAAGTAAATATATTGTGGAAAGAAACATCAAAATGAATCAAGGTAGTGTCACAATTTGTCTTGGGTTCTCTTCAAAAGTAGTCTACCTATTTTAAGATTGAAGTAATATTTCCACACTGTCTTCTTTCAGAGAAAAATATCGTATGTCTGCCCTCCGGCCCTGCGAGGAACATCAGCCAAGCACACAAAAATGTTGAAAAGGTAAATTGTAAAAAGTATAAAGTACTCTGACAAGCCAATGTCTTGTGGTACATTGTCATGTTTATGGATCTCAATAGCTTCTCTGGTACAGGGTGAGTCAAAAAAAGCAGAACCCAAACCCCCAAAATTATTTTTTTATATTTAAAAAAATATGTAGCACCAAACATAATAATGACTGGAAAGCCAATTTCATAAGCTACTTTTAGATGAAATAATTACTGAAATTGCTCAATCCGTTCGAAGAATATCACCATTTCAACGAAATGACTTTAAAACCTCTTTCGTCCAAAAAATGCGACTTCAAGAATCGACGTCACATTTGTCTTCAAACATCACCAGGGATAAAACCTCAGTTTAAAAGTTTAAAATATTCAACAAAGTCCTTTTGAAGGTCGGTCTTTTAAAAAAAGTGGATTCTGTAGATCATTTTGTTTGCCTAACCAGGGTTGTTAATAAACATATTGTGCACTACAGTTGTTGACAGTTGTTGAAACAAGTATTCTGTGTCATTTTCTTTGTTGTTCCAAACAATCAGAATACACAATAAACTTCTTTTTTTGGACGAGACAGGTTTTAGGGTCCTTGCGTTTAAATGCCGATATCGTTTGAATGGATTGAGCAATTTCAGTATTTTTTTCATCTAAAAGTAGCGTATGAAATTTGCTTTCTCGTCATTATTATGTTTGGTGCTACATATGTTTTTAAATGTGAAATATAATTTATGGGATTTGGGTTCCGCTTTTTTTGACTCGCCCTGTACGACCAGTGCTTCTATGGGGCTATGATTTCCGCTTGTTCCCAATCATCGACCCGATCCAAATCAGCAGAGTGTTTGATAATATACAAATATAACATGGTTTGAGGGTGGACAGTCGATATTCGCTCCCCGAGGTATTGAAAGTTGACAAACTAGTTCCCGAGGCGAAGCTAATATCGACTGTCCACCCAAAATAAACCATGTTATATTTGTTTTACTATACCTCATACATATTCAGTCGCCGAATTTTGTTTTATTATTATGCACCTAAAAAAAAATTTGGGGAAACTTGTACAGCTCACCAAAAGATTCAACTTCAATTACTAGTTCGGTTCGTTTGCAATTATAATACAGTTACTACAGTTGTAAATACAGTTGTTTGCAATGTGTACAACTTTCTTTTGTACAGGAGACATCTTTACACGGTCTATACATTTTCTCCAGTACGGCATCATTGAGCTCTGTAAATTAACTTTTACGCGAACCGTGCAACCATGCATCTCTCCTGTGCGATGTTCGCGCGTGCTTACTGCACCCGTGCGACAGTTCCTCGATTGCTCTGTAAAGCGCATGCGTAGTAGACTGTCGCACGGGTAACCCATGCGACAGTCTACTACGCATGCATATTTACAATGTGCGTGAATCCTCGCGCGCGCGTTTGGTAAACAGCAAGAATAACATCTGGCACGTGATGGTGAATTGACCAGTGAACGTCCGGCTCTCGATCATGAATATGTATGAGGTATAGTAATAGCAGATTTGTCAAGTTCCCCTCTGTGCCAGTGAGCTATGTGTTCTTTAAGCCTGGTAGTGTGGTCTCTGCCGGTCTGGCCAATGTACACTCTGCCACACGAGCAAAGAATTCGGTAAACTCTGGCTTGTCTGTGTGGAGTGTGTTTGTCTTTGTGGGTACTGTACAATAGTTTATTGGTAGAATTGTTTGAAAAACATCATTTCAAACGTCCTAAATGTTATGTAATTTGAAACTCTTCCACTTTGATGCAACCACCGCCAGGCCTACCAGACGTTTCTCCTGCAGTCCCCCCTCGACGTGTCCCTCAGCTTCAAGGACAGCGGCAACTGGCGAGGGATGACGGTCCGTTCCAACCAGGAAGGAGACCTGATGGCGATCATCAGCTTCAGTCAGAATGATCTGACCGAGACGGAGACAGAGGATGCCATGCTGTCGCTGCAGGACTTCTTTGCTTACGGGGAAGGCAAGGATTGCGGGCTGACCTCTCTCTACTTCCAGTCCAGGTCAGGGGTCGTCCTGTATTGATATCCTAAAAAATCAAATATCCACAATCTTTATTCTCTTGGTAGTATTTCCAGGAATTTTCCCAAATCTGCCAAGTCTATCACAGTGCAAGTGTACAATGGCCCAGCGAAATTAACCATTTTGTGTGTAGTGTGAATGGCACCTCAAAATCATTCAATGTGCCGGCCGGTCCACACAGTAACACTACCCCTAAGCCTGCCAGACGCAACACAGCGCATCAGGTGTAAAAGTCTGGTGCACTTTGATGCATTCAGCTACCAACACCAGTGCATAGACGGCCGCTTCTGAAACAATGAGAGCTAATCTCATTGAACAATGACAGAGCTGTGTCCTGCTGCAGTTGGTGACCACAAGCTGAGCATTTTGGCCTTGAGATGTTTGACCTGATGGATCTTGCTACACTGGGCAGGCTTGTCATTTTAGACAAGTGTTGAATGTTGCTGAGACAACAGGGTTTCTAGCCACAATACCCTGGAGGGCATGAAAGACCCATCATGTACTGGACTCTACCTTCATTAACCTTACAAATCCTCTAAAACCTCCTGGATGTTGAAGGATCTTGGAGGGTATGAGTTATTAAAAAAGCTTCCATATTGCCAAACTGCAGAATATCATGGCGGATCAAACTGACCCAAATTTCTCTGTTTTGACCGCAAAAAAATAAACTCTCTTTCATAGAAAACATATGTTGTGGAAATAAAAATTATGGTGGAACCTTGAAACTCACTTGTGAAGTAACTGTAACCCTCATTTACCTTGGTAAAAAGTCAGAACTGCCAAAAATTCATAAAATTACTTTGGTAATTTACACGTTTAAAAAAAATTGACGGTACTCCACATATTGCTAAAAGGTAGTGTAGAGTTCAACTAAAAATTCAGCTTGGAAATTTCATTCATTTAATTTCATTTATTTTTTTCTCAGGTAAGAACACACACATAGACACAGAAATGTTATGCCATGTCTTTCATGGACCATTCAAATCTTGCCATATTCATCTATTCATGTATTCAAATCGTGCCATTCATATACTTGCAATTGTTAAGCTTTCGGACAAGGGCCACCAATGAGGACGCCCCGTTCCACCTCCTGCTCGGCAAGCCCCACCTCCATGAGACCCTCTTTGATCTGCAGTTCCGGATCTCCCCGGACGCCTTCTTCCAAGTCAACACCCCGGCCACGGAGGTCCTGTACTCCACCGTCATGGATCTGTGCCGGCTGGGACGGGACACCACGGTCCTGGATCTGTGCTGTGGGACGGGGACCATCGGACTGGTCATGGCAGACAGGGTGAGGGAAGTGGTGGGGATAGAGGTGATACAACAGGCGGTGGAGGATGCCAGAGTCAACGCAGAACTCAATGGTACGTGTGGGCTTGGATTTTTAAACATCTCATGCCTGTATTTTACTAGCTTCAGTTCAGCAGCAGTATAACTCAATTTCGAGATGAACTAATATAAAAACAGCAAAGTGATTTGTAGCAGTCAATAGAAGAGACAACCCTTTTCAACACCTTACTTGCTTTGCCCGAAGATCTTTTATTAAGGGAGTAAATGTGTGCTTGGGAGGTGTTAAACACTCTGTTGAAGACCGGTTGGAGTTTGGATGCGGCGAGGGTAATTATCAACATCCAGACTCCAACCGGTCTTAAACAATATGTTTAATACCGACCAGGCACATATTTATTCTCATTCATAAATACCTTTTTGGTCAAACAATCAAAAACTTTACCAAAAGTAAAAACAAGTCAAAAATTATATATTTTCAATGATTTCGATCAACAAAACACCCCTCTAGCTATGCAGGGTGAGTAAAAAAAAACGAAACCCAAATGTCGGGACTATTGCTGGCACTTTCAAAATCTAGGATATGAAAACCCAAATCATAAGCTTTCTTTTAGCACAAGAAATGTTCAAATCACTCATGTACTTTTTGACTTATGGAATTTTAAACACAACCACCGTTTTATAGTTCTATCCACGGATCACAAAAAAGGTGTGCATTCTTTTAGCAAAACGAAAACAAAGCGCACACATCCCTATGTGATTTGTTTTCGATTTGCTGAAAAGTGAAAGAACACTGAACTTTTTTGTGATCCGTGGACAGAACTTTAAAACGGTGGTTGTGTTTAAAATTCCGTAACTTGAAAAGCACATGAGTGATTTGAATGATTCTTGTACTAAAAGAAAGCTTATGAACTGGGCTTTCATATCCTAGATGTTGAAAGTGCAACATGCAGTTCTTCACTAAAACAATGGTCCCAACATTTGGGTTTCGGTTTTTTTACTCACCCAGTACAGTGGTAAGGCCCTCTGGAAAACAGCTACTTATATGGAGATTGACGCGCGCGTACTGCGCAATGTGGCACACAACACAGATGTACCGGTGTAGTGTGATTTTAGGACTATGAAAAACTGTCTCACTGGTAGTAGTGCGCATTGCCTACGTGAGGATTGCGAACGTTCAACCAATATGGAATGGTGCTGGCACTGGATTTCAAAGGAGTCAAAATTTCATGTGACACTGGAAAAGTGTTTAAGACCAGCCAGCCAGTCTTTATAAACCCTTTAAAACCACCCATGTGACAGGCTCTCGATCAATAGGAATGGGTAAACTGTCTTAGGTATATATGAATAAAAGTTGACAGCCCTAAGTGGCACAAGTTCAATTTAAACCATGCTTTCTTTATTATCGTATTCCAGCTATATCCAATGCGACATTTGTCTGTGGCCCAGTGGAAGAGGTTCTACCTGACCTCCTCCCAACACTAGAGGGCGCTGGTGATCTCGTGGTAGTAGCCAATCCGGCAAGAGCTGGATTACGTAAGTACCTATCTCACTTCTGCAATTCTAATAATGTAACCTTTTTCAACAGTGCTCAGTGTGGTTTTGCTCATAAGTTGAAAAAAAACACCTTTATTTGGTTCTCATGTGTTTTTTTCCCCCTTCTGTTTAGATCCGAGAGTTGTACGAATCATCAGGAACAGCCATTCAATCAAGAGGCTGGTTTACGTGTGCTGCAAACCCGAGGGATCGGCAGCCAAGAATTTCACAGAGTAAGTGACGTACAAATGGACTAGTCCATTAGGATTTGGAGGTGCTAAGGGACATTAGGCATTGCTGTACGTATATCAGTAGCCACTTTCAGTTTCATCACTGCTATGGACCAGTCTGAGCACTTTGAAGGGCCCCTTCAAAGGAGACACCATTTTACATGCTACTGTTGTGCCCTTGAGTAAGGCACTTTACCTCAATTACTCCTCTCAACCCAGGTGTTAAATGGGTACCAGCATTATTCAATGCTGGGAAGGTAACAGACTCGCTGTGGAGGAGGTGTGGCGATCCCCCACAGCAGCATTACATGGACTGGAGTCTGGGCCAATCGCTTCGAAAGAGAGATGGGCACTCCGTTCCTGTTAACACAGTTTATCCTTACAGGTAGGGCGGTTCGGGGCTATACATGATTCCTTGCTCAATTTTATCTTTTAGTCCCCTAACCTATGGCCCTTGAACCCCATCAGGGCCTCTACGCCCCTCTTGTACACTGAACCTTTCCAATGATGTTTCATGTTGTCTTCTTTTCTCCTAGCCTGTGTTGCCCCCCTACTACCAGACTCCATGGCAAGCCGTTCACCCCCATCAAGGCCGTCCCTGTCGATCTCTTCCCAGACACCTACCACTGTGAGCTCGTCCTGCTTTTTGAGAGGTGATTCCAGGTAAAATCTGGCCTAGTTTAAATCCTTTTCAATACATTTTTTACATGACATGTACAAATTTATGGCTTCTGACTAGCGCCCCTGAACAAAGATATTGACAAACTGGGGAACCACCAACATGGGGCTGGATAACTCAGCTAGTAGAGTGCGGGTACGATAATTCGGAGGTCGCAGGATGATATACCGCTCCAATCAATTTCTTTGTTCAACTTAAAAATTTGTTTTAAGAACTAAGAACACCTGCTGTCTGGGAACAGATCCCAGTATGATTTTTGTTGTCACAGTTCTCAGGTTTTGGTTGTACTAGCTGCATTATTTAAGGGACCTTGTGTCAGCTCATGTCAAGAAATTCAAAGCATTGTGGATAAGCTTACTAGCATATTCAGCACGAGTGCTTAGCCATGTGTATGAGTACAAATCTTAGCCACGATTAAGAGTATAAGTAATTAGCCAAGAGTATGAGTACAAGTACTTAGCCAGGAGTATGAATATGAGTACTAGTACTTAGCCATGAGTAACAGTACAAGTACTTAGGCAGGAGTACAAGTACTAAGTCATGAGTACGAGTACAAGTACTTTGCCATTAGTACGAGTACAAGTACTTAGCCATGAGTAGGAGTACAAGTACTTAACCATGAGTAGAAGTACAAGTACTTAGCCATGAGTAGGAGTACAAGTACTTAACCATGAGTAGAAGTACGAGTACTTAGCCATGAGTACGAGTACAAGTACTTAGCCATGAGTACGAGTACAAGTACTTAGCCATGAGTACGAGTACAAGTACTTAGCCATGAGTACGAGTACAAGAACTTAGCCATGAGTAGAAGTACAAGAACTTAGCCATGAGTACGAGTACAAGTACTTAGCCATGAGTAGAAGTACAAGAACTTAGCCATGAGTACGAGTACAAGTACTTAGCCATGAGTAGAAGTACAAGAACTTAGCCATGAGTACGAGTACAAGTACTTAGCCATGAGTAGAAGTACAAGTACTTAGCCATGAGTAAAAGTACAAGTACTTAGCCATAAGTAAAAGTACAAGTACTTAGCCATGAGTAGAAGTACAAGTACTTAGCCATGAGTATGAGTACAAGTACTTAGCCACGAGTACGAGTACAAGTACTTAGCCATGAGGGGAAGAATTCCATACATGGACATCACTAATTTTTCCCTGCAATGACCTATCAGCCATCAGAAAGCGATACCATGTCCTAAAAAGTCAAATTAAGCAGGGAAAATATTGAAGCATTTACTGAGAAAACACTTAGAGTGTTTGAGTACAAGTACGAAAAAATGTACTCAGGTACAAGTGAAAAAATTCATCGTTTTCAGAACCTAAATTTGTTGTGCACTTTGAAATGTTGAGACTTTATGAACAAAACCATGTTAAAAAAAAAAATCCCTGTATTAAAGAAATCTGGAAACATTAACAAAGTGATCAGGTTTTAGAAACATTTCTTTGTTATTGACATGTTGACCTTTTATTCAATAATTTAAATGGTTAAACTAACTTTTTATATATTAGGTAATGTAACTGGAAGTTTTAATATTTACATATTGTGCCAATTAAGTTTCTACATACATAATGACTGAGACGGAAAAACTCATGAAAAACAAACTCTCTTTTGTGCAGCAAATTGTGGCATTTCATGTTGGTTTCTTTCGATGTCTCTTTTACGAAATATATCTTTGAGATAAATCTTCAAAAGATCAATTTTACGCCATGATTTATTTTATCCCGTAAAAGTAGGAAATGCTTTTAAGAAGTGGTACATGTACATGATTGTAAAATTAATGTTTCGTTGTCATGACTAAGTGAAATTGGGCAAGATGTTACGATGGATTTGGGATTATGGCCATCAAATATTCCTTTTGTATCGTCCCAGAATCTGTGTATAAGCCAATAAATAAAATATAAAAAGTTTCAGCTTTTGTCCCGAAACACTGGTCATTGTGACAAATATATAAATAATAATAAATGACAAATTATAAATAATTATCAATAAAACCCCCTAAAAAATGAATAAATAAATAAATAAATAAAGTACCGAGTGGGAGTACTTTCAAAAAGCAATGACATGTATATTATATTCTATTTGCAAATTGTCTCTATTTGTAGCAACAGTAGTAAATGGTAACAGTATTAGACTTGTTCAAGTTCTCTTATTGTCCACAATAAGTATTTAAAGCAGCACACATAAGAGCAAAGGGTCTATTTTATTAAAGAGACATTAGAGGACTGTTTTGCAATGTTAGTAACCTGGACCAGGCATGTTTTTAACCCCACCCACTGTTTTTGACAGTGAAGCTGGTCCTCATTCATCAATAGGGGGCGCCCTTTTCTGTTTTGTTTTCTACGTCTTTTCGGTGCATGTTACACCCTGCCCCCCTCCCAGTTCCACCTCCTTTGCCCAGACCACAGCAGTGTTATGTAAGTCTTCCCAATGTACAAGAACTTATTTATTATTCTTACCAGATATAGGCCTAGGGTACACTATTTGGGGAATTGGGACCTACCAAGAGTTGTGGGAGGGGGCTATGCCCCCACTGGAAAAGCCCAGCAGTTTTCCATATTGAACTATCAATTACCAGACTAAAACCTACAAGATTGAGAAGAAAACTACTTGAAACATACCATGCATTTATGCATACTGAATTTAAAATGTGCCCTTGGCAGTCCGCGTAATTTTTTTTCCTAGGAGGGTTAGGGGCAATGACATGAATAATTCAGTTTTTCCTTTGAATCATTGCAAGACTTAGGTTCTCGTTCTATTTTCCCCTTAATTTAAAATTATCTCAGTGATAAATTTGGAGAAGAAAAATAGCTGATGAAAATGAGCAGCGACGACGTGGATTCGAACCAGGGATCTTTGTATCCATAGCTCATCTCGCTATCCACTAGGCTACTGTGTGGTAGCTCGACGACAACCGTTCTTTAAAATGCTTTAATGTATTGTTACTAGTTGAGTAACTAACAACAATGCTGATGATGTCATTGTCCGTTCTCATGGATAAACATGAATTATTCATGACATTGCCCCTAACCCTCCTAGGAATAAAAATTACGCTGGCAGTCCATTTTGTGTCCAACCCAATCTTTGCACTGCGATAGAACATGTCACTCATACAGGGATGTGGTCCAGTCTATCACAAGTCCAGTCACAAGTAAATCACAGGTCTAGTAACAGTGGATGAACAATAACAAAGCAATGCCGTTGTCAAAGCTCATTTGAATAGCTTGTGAGTTGACTTGGGACTGGAGGACTTTGTGATGGACTTGCAGGGACTTGTGATAGACTCGACTACATCCATGTGCTGACAAAAAGTAAAACATGATGGTTTTAATGTAATTGTTATATAGCGCATTCTATAGGAAAGCTTCCTCCAATCTGAGAGCAAGTTCATGCGACAACTACGGTTAATCATAGTTCGACTGACTTCACTTGAAAGAATGACGGTTGGACTACTCTAGTCAACTATTTGGAACTGAAGCTAGGGACACTGCTGCAGCGCTGATGATGTTTTGACCATCGTTTGGCTAGAGTCATTCGCACGTTGCTGCGCAGGCGTTAGTTATGTCACAAATCAACCACTAGCCGACTATTGGTCTTCCCCCGAACTTGCTCTGAGTTCTTCCGAGTTGTGTAGCTGAGTTGTTTATTTGGGAGAGTTTGTAGTACATCGTCTCACTGGAGACAAGCTTACGAGCTGTGTCTATAGTCCTTGTGAACAGCGCCCTCTGTGAGAAACACAGGTAAAGCGCCCTCTATAGCTGGCTGACGGGGTCCGTTCTCCTAACTGCTCTGGAACATGTCGCTGAGCAGCCGCTCGATGGGGATGCTTCCTATGGTCTCCTTGAAGAAGAGCCTCTCAATGAGTTTGCTGCTGACCCTGCGGAGGGCGGGCAGGATGAGTAAGAGGCGGCCAAAGCGCACACTCCTACCGGGATAGGAATGGCGGATGTAATCATTGAGCATGACCTGGGCCTGGTCCTGGAGGGCTTCCACCTGAAGGGGCTCTCTGACACCGTGGGTCTCTGAGAAAGGCAAACAAAAACACAATGAACTAAATAAGAATGGGTACACGAAATGAGAATGGTTACACTAAATAAGAGAAGCGAAATCATCTTTAAGTGCAGGCATCTTGATAGGTGTGTTCTAAGTTCAGTGATGTAAACGCTTACTAACTTCAATGACGTAATGCGTGTGCTCGCTTGATTCGAAATGAGGGAAGATGCTACTTGTATTCTATGTCATACTGCTGTGAGTGCCTTATGGTACGAAACAGTCTGTCCAGAAGAAAAATATGCCAAAGTTTGATTAACTCATATCCTGAAGTTATTGCATAATTATAGCTCTGCAGAGATGTATCGAGCACTGTGGATTGTGATAGATGATGATATCATTGGATAGCTTATCAGTATTTTAACTTTGGATCTTTGTGAAGTAGTAGAACATTCTTACTGTGGATTTGACTGCCAAAGGGTCATTTTGCTTATGTGTACAGTTATGCGACAAGTCTTGTTGGCCTACTGATTGGTTGAAGGTGCTTGTGTCCTTGGGCAAGTCAGTTTACTGTGATTGCTACAAAAGTCATATGTTACAATGACAGATGATGTCACATTTGAGTTTTAAAAAGGTTGTGATTGTAAGTAGTGTGAATTATTATCAAATCCTCAGAATGTATGGAGTTAATCAACACTTACTGGATGCATTATAATTTTTTTAATAAATATATAAAAAAGGTTTAAATTTGATCACTTTTGTAGTTTCCTCCAAATGATTATCACCTGTTTAAGATCAAATTTCCACATAGAGTCTCTTTGCTTTCCTCTTGAACACAACATTGCAAACACTGACATGAATTCTAGAAGAAGACAAAATTTATGAAGGCAGCCCCTTTAAGCACTTACCAGGTCTGAAGAGCGCCACCGCTTTCAAGCAGGCGAACTCGGTAAAGTCCACCTCCAGCGCCCTCAAACGAGCCACCACATCCTGCATGTAGCGTATTTGTGACGTCAGCCGCGCCAGCTCGTCCCCAGATAACTTTTTCTCTGTTCTGGGCAGGTACTTCAGGAGACTGTCGGTCTCCAGCGGGACGGACCACTGGCAGATGCCGAGAAGGAAGAGGTCTCGCCAGCCTTCCTCCAGCAACAAGACCTGGAGAAAGAAAAAAAAAATTTAACTTTCAATTTGAACCATGGATTTATTTCTTGGGTGTAGGGGTTGAATCTAGTCTGTGGAATAGATGCTTGTACGTCAAGCGTCTAAGATATCGTGCAGATTATGCAAAACAACAGTGCATCTTGACCTCCAGATTCTGACCATTCAGCGGGCGCCTTCTATCCTGTCTTCAGTAACCCCATTGATCTCTGACTTTAGGAGATCAGTGGGTAGCCCGATGTTGTATGAGAAAAACATGGCAGCTATTGACCAATCAACAGCAATGTTCAGTCAAATTTCTGCTCTTATTGACATCACAGCTTCTAAAGGAGGCTCTGATTGGCTTGCGCGCGGGGTCGCATAAAATTTGCATGCTCAGATATATCACACAGTGTAAGGTTCTGCGCAAGTGGACGCCTGATCCTCCGAGTAGGTAGAATCTATCTACAGCCCAGAAACTTTGTTGGAGACGAATTTCAAAGGGCCATAACCCATTTTAACCAAAGAAGTTCAGCTTGATGTCAATGTGATGCTTTTAACTTGTGATTGGTTCTCAACAAGTTTGCTTACTAGGTTGATAGCTTGCAAAGAAGTAATTTACTTAATAGTTTTAGGCTCGAATGTTGCACAGCTCTCTGGAAGCACAGAAAGATCCCGATCGGAGAAAAGTTTAGCATGACAGCAATGTGGTACTAGCCCGAATTTCGTCCGAATATGAATTACTTCTGACTCTGTTGTTGCCAATTTTTGCCTACCAAAAAGATTTTCCATGTCAAATTGCATCCATGTGAGGAGCTCGCAAACTAGAATCAGTCATATGTTTTTATAAACAGTTGAAAAACAAAACGCCCATAGCGATGGAATTTTCTCGGGCAAAAGTGGTACTCTAAGAAGTACAGGTAACATGTATAGGTGGGAAATGTAGGCCAAGTTGGCAAGTATAAGCAAATCAGTCAAACGTATTCCAACCCTGGGTTTGAGTTAGGAGTTTGATGCCGTGGTTAGGCGCGCTCACACCCGTCAACCTGAAGTTGTTTCTCGCAGCGTGGACACTCCACGCGGCAACACCCCGGTACACGTTACTCTTAACACTTTCAGCGTGCGCACTCGAGAGTGGATGATTAACGAAAACAAGGGGGCGGGAGATAAAAGTGAAGTGCCTTTGAATGTAGTAGGCCACACACAAGCACACAAACACCAAACCACGAAATGATAAGCAGTGTTTGCGTTTCTATGGCAAAGGCAAAGGTTGTGCTGACTTTTTCACCATCACCAGCGCGTGCGAGCGCGCGTTCCTGACGTACAAGCGGCGGTTGAGAGGCAACTAAAGCCCCGTTCTAGACTTGCCTCTCGTTCGGTATCGCATCTTAGCTCCGTGGTGATTTATAACCGCTTCAAGTTGACAGTTTCAGACGTTTTACCGTCAGTTGGTTCAGAGGACACGCGCTCTGTTTTCCAGTCTTTTTTCTGGAGTTTTTTTTTTACGTGAGTTACAGCCGAAGTACTTGTGCGGGGCTGAACGAGGTTCGAAGTTTAGCTTGGCAACTATTAGTTTTTGTTATTAATTGTCTGTTTTGAGGCAGGCTTCAGACACCGAGTTGAAACTGTGTCAGTGGCGGGGTCATTTCACTTTTTGGCAGGCATGCAGCCTGCTATAAATAAACCTCGTTACAGTTCCGTCAGTTTCGTAAAATAGGTACTTTTTAGAGACTATTTAAGAGCAAACATTAAGCAAAAGTTGGTTTCTCAAAAGAGATGGGTTGTCAGTAAAGCAGCAGAAATGGTCCTCTATTACGTCATTATGACGTCGAGTAATTCAATCTGTTTTGGCTTGTACCCCTGTTTCAACCAATGTCCTTAACCACAGATGTGCCTAGCTTAGGTGAAAGCGCCTCGTGACGTATTGATGACGTCCCATAAGCTAATTTGTAACACCTGATTTAATGCATCCATGTTTAAGTTAATGCAGCAGACCCGATTGTTCTTTCATTTTAAACACACTTTGGAGTCTTAAATTCATCTTGGCGATGTCAATACATCATCATGACGTCATAAAAACACTAGTACATTCTCGTGTTACCAGCAAAGCTTTTTTCACAGATAAGAGGTTTTTTTAGACAGGAGACAATAAATTGATCCAGTTTCTAGGCCATAAAATGATCGAGCAAAAGGCAAGGTAAATTTTAACCGCAGGTAAGGTGGCTGTACTTTTAGTGACAGCAACTTTTATGTTTCAATAATAAAGTATTCGTACCTGGTCACGATACGGCAACAGACGGTAGCAGGGGATATTCTTGGTCCACTTGACGGAGGTGAACAGGAGTCGTGCCGCCACTTCGGGCATACTCTCCGGCGTACCTGCCATGGGGAAACACGGAGGAATGTCGGTGGGGTTGCAGAGCTTGTGGCAACATCGATCAAAATCATCCATAAAAGAAGGGAGGCTATTGGGTTGGCTGTTTCTTTAAGAGAGTAGTAGACATTTGTGATGCGTTCAGGGCAAGTTTTCGAGTGTTTGTGGGCCGGTTGGCGGCTGAAGCCAATGAAATGAATTAGCTAGAACAAATTAGCTAGAACAAAAAGGATGTGTTGTTCATTTCTTGGGTCATTAAGTAAAGTTCCAACGGACCTCGCCTGATATTTGGTTTTGATGGGTTGGGACCTTCGTTTCGTTGGTCAAATCTTGTTCTGGTTTCATTGTAAATGTCAGGACTTAAAAGTGGAGCTGGATGCTTCACCGAGTGTTGGTTTTGTGTCGATCCTCTTGAGCCTGTTCCCAATACATTTTTTTGGTATGAATCCTCTTGATTCTTCCACAATCCTTCCCTGATAAAAACCCTTTTATGCCTTCCTTATCCTTATAAAGCTCGAATTCATGCAAAGTAATAGTGGATTGGTAAGGATTGTACCTTCCCAAATCCTGCAAAATCCTTCGACTCTTAAAATATTTTGAAGGATTTTGATGGGTATGATCATACCTGCCATCGCAGAATGAAAGCCGGCATGGGGTCCACCTTCCCCCTCCGCCTTGACCTTAGCTGCCGACAGATCCAGAGCCATGGGGCTGACGTTGTACTGCTCGGCGGTCAGCAAGCTGTGGTAGAAAGTCCCATAGTACATGGAACTCGACACGTAGGACACCACAGCCACCGGCGTGTTACTGGTGCTGCTCGTGATGCCGTGGTGGTGATGGTGGACGTGATGCGGACCGTGAATCTGGCCGTGGACTGACGGGGGCTCGGGGCTCGCCGACCCGGTACTGCCGTGGTCCGGTGAGGAGGGCTTGGGTTTGGGTTTACGCGGACCCCGCTCGTGCTGTACAGCTAGATATTAACAGAGGGAAATTACACATTATGACACTTCAGTTTTCTGGTCAAGACTTCTAATAAACATTTTGAAAGAGACTCTTTATGAAAGAAATGACATTTCCCCTGAACTTCTGGTAGTTTTCCCTTAGGAAGTATGTATAGATGAACGAAAGAACAACACCTAAATTAAAACCTGTTAATTTACTTGTCATAGGATTAGTTTGTTATTTTAAAAAGGTTTATACTAGTCCGTCATTTTCGTTTAGTTCGCTTGTAAAGTACTCAATTAGCAGTTTCTCACTGTCTCCTTTTCCAAACTTTTTATTTTGAACAGTTTTGAGAAGAAATTATTATGAGTATTCAATTTTGTATTTATATTTTAATTATGATACATGCACGACAAAATCAAAGTTTGCCTGTCATTTATAACACTGTTCGGCTTTTCACAATGACCTTTAGAAAAAAAATCAATAGAATTCCATCGGGACAATAGATCAGCCCATTTACAAAGATATCCCACCACCAGACTTTGTAACAACAAATCCAGAATGTTCCGGTTTGTTAGCCAAGTTTTTTGGGGGTAGCTGGTGTAACCGCCGAAGCCGTTTTGCCGACTTCACGCCGGTTGGAGCGGGACAATGCGGGTCGCGCGCCTGGTGTTTGTTCATCTGTTCCGGGCCGTTGTCCCGGCCGGCCCCGCTGAGGTACCGGAATGCCTGTTGACCACGCTGAAAAGTGTGCCGTGGACTGTGGGAATTTTCTGTACTTAGTTCGGGACATGTGTACATGCGGTTTTGATTGACATACCCATGCAAAACACCTGGCCTGGGAACTTCAAGTCACCCCAGCTCCCCCCCCCCTCTCCCCCTCTCCCCCCCCCCCCCCCCCGCAAAAAAAATGCATGACAATTTTGCAACGTCCCGCAAAAATCAACTTCAAATGTCAAGAGTTTAAAACTCGGAATTACGAGCGAGTGGCTCGTTGCGGCTCTGTTAAGCTCGGCATAGTTTCGAAAACCGTCGGCATGACTGGCTATAATAACTCGGTCTTTCGGGCCGTAGTAAGTTCGCTGAATTGAAATTGGGCTCTGTTCTCGGTGTAAGTTATGATTTGCAGTTTGGTACAAGCCAAGTTTTTGTTCAGAGTGACCCAGATTTTGCTCGCTTTATTGGGCGATATAGGCGTCACTTGGGACATTTTAAGTTTAGTCGCGTTATTGGAACGTGATTTTGCTTAAATCACTTTTATATTGCTCTAATTCTCGAGAACAAACTGATAGTCCCGATAATCCAAAGCACCCAAGGGCATTTTGCCGGGTTTGCTCTTTCCTATAAAAACCAGAATCCAGTCACCACTTAAATGGGGCGTGAAAAATGTACTTTAGCCGCTCTAGCAAGATATTTTTTTTTCAAGAGTCCAGCTTAAAAACTCAATATCATTCTTACGTGAGAACACCAGTTGGCTTCGGGGCTACAGTGATCATTACAATCAGAGAGGAAAATCAACTCATCGGAAATGATGTACGGTTTGCAAATTGAAGTCGTAGGCGCCTGCCGAGACATAGCGGGGAGGGCCCCCGGGGGGCTTAGCGCGCGGCGCGCGCTGGTGACACACCCGCCTTTTGAGACAGCGAGCCCGGTGCACAGTCAACCTGGCCAGGTGCGTTCACGACCCAACACCTCCCGAAAATTGGAGAGGTGATGTCAAAAGCGGGCCCGTGTTTTGGTTCGTCTCCCTCTGTCCCATGATAACAAACTCTTGTTATTAAGCGGAGAGAGACTTAGTTGCTGACTGAAAAATATGAGTCATTTTTTTTTGGGGGGGGGGGGGGATCATTTTGTTGTTTTTGTGTTTTTAAACAATCATCATCACTATAAGGAAATCAGAAAGCCTGTCCATATCAGACGTACTTCACCAGATATAGGCCTTGAAATGTATTATGTGTTTCAGCTATTGTGGTTGAGGGACGCTTCACAGTTAAAATCTCACCAAAGTTTCGGCAGATCCTATACAATAAAATTGTTTGGCCAAAATAGTTTACTATATTCCAAAGAACCTTTGATATGACATTGAATGACAAGTCCATTGAACTGCATTGAAATATTTCATGTTTTTACATAAAAGCGAACTCTTTTACACGGAAATGATTTTAATAATGGTTAATTGATAAGTTAATATAATTTTGACCTAGTTTTCGTTCTAGGAATTAAGGGACACATGCCAATTCAGTATTTCGACTTGCATTTGGTTCACATTGATCCAAGTGCTGCACCGCTGCCAAGTCGCATGGTTATCATAATTTTTTTTTTCATTGTACGGAAAAGTTATACGAAGAAGATCTTCATTAACCCGACTGACATACTGAACACAAACAGCACGACTGTTATTAATATCTTATGGATTTTTCCCTCTAAATGACCGTGGTTTCGTTACAGAACACGACCAGCGTTTAAAAGACGCAGTCAAGTCGGTCTGTTTTCCCGGTTCGATAAAATGTCATTAAATGGCCATCTTGAATGCATGGGCAGGTAGGGCCCAATCGGAAACAGCACGGGGCCTGGTATAATACCGCCACGAAACGGGCTTTTGATTCCCTAAGCAAAATACCCCGCTCAATACGGACCCCGCAAGGACATCCAAATAACCCTGTTTGGACAAAGATCTTCAGACCGTAGTAATTTGACGAGGTTATACGTGAAGACCGCGTTCTGTTTAAATTCCCGACCGTGTCTGGACCGACCTGCTCCCGCCGTTATTTTGACAGCCAGCACCGGTGATCCATTTAGGGCCAGCCGCGCTGTCTGTTGTACCGTGCACCGCGGAGTTTCCCCCGGCCGCCTGTGTAAAGATCGCAGGACCGCGAAAGGCGGTTTCCCGTGGGTATCGCTCTAAATTAAACTTCCATCATTGGATTACTTCGTCATTATTGACTTGTTATTAAATTAGCTCCCTGTCTTGCCAACGATTTTATTTCACTGCGCATTTGTGAATAATAAAAAAAAGGTTGTGCAGTCGCTTGATTTTTACTTCCTTGGTGAGATTTGGCAATGGTGTTCTTACTTCTTAGTGTTATTAGGCCATATGAGTTAACGTTATTGGTTGTAAGCTTGTTATTATTTCGGGACATGGTCGGTTGGGTCTAATAAATGATATGAAAGTTTCATGTCCGTTGCTTCAACAATGGTGTGTCACTGCTTAAAGTACAGGGGTCCTGTATAAGAAGTACAGTAAATAAGAAGTACACTTTATAAGTCCTTCACTCTCATTTCCCCACTCCCCCCCCCCCCAAAAAAATTAAGAAATAAATAAATACATAGGTACAGCACGCCCATCGCCACTCAATTTGAACCCCCCCCTCCTCCCCAACACTGAAACCCCACCCCACCCCCAAAAGGCCAAAAAAAATACACGTAGGCCTAATCGATCTTGTTCGCACGTACAATTTATCAGTAGTATAATGACCAGGTTTTTTTTTCTGTGAAGCAAATAGGAGGGGCATCAGCATCCTATCATTGGGGTTAGACTTCGGTTCGGTCGTGAACCCTTTACGGTATTTGGGGCATCGCTTTGTTGGGGGATATTTTCTACCATTGCCCTCCGGATCCCCCACACGTGACGATACTAAGCTGCGTATTTAGAACGACTGAATCGAGAAACTTCAGTACAGGTTGTCATGCACGAGTGCGCTTGACGCGTGGAATATACGGCAGCGGGTCGGAGTCACATCACATGCCCGTCTTTACCCCCGTCTGCCCCCATCAAAGCATGCAGCCGCGGCCGCTGTTACGCAGTCATCCGTAAACTGCTGTCGCCTGTCTCAACATTAACAGTACGTCAACTCATTTTTGGGAGAAAACCAGCTATGGATATTGTAGTTGAAACAACATCTGTCTCACGCGGGTTGAACATCGTTTACGCCCTGGGGGTAGGGGGGGGGCGCCCTGGGGGTAGGGGGGGGGCAAGGGGCTAGGAAGATGGAGTCGGGGTAGGGGTGAATCTTCTGGCCTCCGGGTTTTCCTATATTCCAAAATCCAGCCTGTATACAAGGCTTTGCACTTTTTTTGGCTAGACCTTAGGTGCTGTAGGGAACAGACGAAAGTTGGAGACGAAGATACTCGGCAAAAATCAATGTGGTAATTAGCAGAGGCGACGTTAGCTGTCGCCGGCTGGCTGAGCTGGCTGATAAATACTGGCTGGCGAGGGGCTGGTCCGTGAATGGCGCTGGGCATGCATATACGCTGGGCGGTACTAGTAGTGCAAAGTTTACGAAGACAACTAAAACTATTTAAAATCTTCGTCACTTGTTCAAGGAATGATTATAAGTTCATTCCCAAATTCTTATTTGCCCGATTCCTTTATATGTGTCCCTGGTTTTTTTGTCCGTGCGGAAACGTTCCAACCAATTTGAAAGTGGCGTTCGCCATGCAATTTTCGAGTTTCATCTCGAAAATACATTTTCAGATTTCTTTTCTAATTTGCTATATATATTTTTCAAGCGATACAAAAGTTATTGACTTGAATGAGACATCTACTAATGAAAAGAATCGACGCATGTTTAGTTATTGTAATTTTTACTTTACATTTTCAATTTGTTTTATCTGCCAGACAATACTTTTCGCGCGGTAGGCTGGTTCTCGCCCCACAATCAGTATCGATCATGTACGGACCGGGAGCCAGTCTGCTCGCAAAGAGAATTCCAGATGTCCAAAATATGAGGGTTTAGGGAAATGTTAAAATAAAATATACTAGTTAAAAATTATTAATAGACAAAAAATCGAATTAAACCCCTACCCACACAAATTCTGACTTTTTTTCAAAAAACGTTAAACCCTCCGTCGGGAAATATTTCGATAAGCGAGGGATAGGGAGCCGGGGAATTCGTGGCTTGGCGCTCGAAGAACTAAGAAGTCACCTGTGACCTTTTGGTTTTGTTGGGGAAGGGGGTTTCTTCCCCTCTCCCCAGCCCCCTCCCCCATCCCCTTCCCCACCCTTTTTGGCCTGGAGTCGGGACACAC